CTTAGAGGAGATGGGGAGCAAGACAATATGATATAGGTTGCAAATCATATTGGGGAGTATGTTGTCTGTGATGGGTATCATCAATGGCTAAGCGATTTCAAGAGGAGGAATGTTTTTGTGATGTATGGAGAAGCATAAGTCTCCAATAAGGTATGGCAAAAAAATATCACTCTAAAGGTCAAACATCTTATTCGGTTAAGGTTGCGGTTAACCCGCAAACCTCAAAACATACAATATTGCTAACTACGACCGCAAAATAACTTATTTTTTTGGTTTGCGATTTAACCGCAAAACCGCAACCGAATTCCCACTCCCAGGATCAATGTTGGTGTGGCCTTGGTCTGGCAAAGAAACAAGGGAAACGAGTCTTTCTCTAGTAGCTCATCAAGGTCGAGTGGGGGTGTCTGGAATTACTCTAGGCTTATAGAATCTTTAACCACATCGACCTCATCTGTTTCTTGGACCTCAATTGGTTCTTCAATCATTGTACCTTATTTAGAATTTGGTTTCTCCCCTTGTCGAAGATCAAGAACTTCTTCTTTCTTTCTTTCTTCCTCCTCCACGACTTCGTCCCCCTTTTATCGCTATTTCTCAAGAAAATTTTGGATAGCAAGTCTTCATGCAAGATTCTCGATAAGATCTTCTTGCATCTCCTAACTCGCTCGTCTCTTCAAAGCTCAGTGTGGGATGCGGAAAGGTCTGGTCGGATACAACAGGATATGCCTGATCAAAATCATCATGGGAACTCTCCAGGACATGCCTACTACACAATGTCTTTGTAGCCATCTTTTTCATCCTCTTCCTGTATGGTAGCAAAGAGGCGATCTTGAGCAAGTTGTGCACAAGTTTGCTCAATGACCTCTATGTTCATCTTCATGCGTCGGAAGGTCTACTCTGACTGTTCGAGAATGGAGATTTCATAAAGGGTATTAATCAGGGAGTCCACCTTGGAGCACAATCTTTCGTCATCTAGAACAAACTTCCCAAGTGCAAGCTCCAACTAGCTCTTTGGTTTCAGATATGGAATGTTGAAAGAACCCCGCTTCTAGGGATTCTAGGGGCTGATCTTCGGCACTCGTGAGATTGGGATTTAGGATGGAGATTAGGGATTTAGATAGGAGAATTGGGGATTAGGGATTGAAGAACAGGATTGGGGTTGAGATAGAAGAATGGCCGGCGGCCTTTAGGGAAGAGGGACGAGATTTGAGAGGGATTAGAGACTAGGGTTTGAGAGATACTTTCTGTAATATTATTCTTGGCTGACTATGACGTAAACCCAAAGTACATATTTATAGGAAATAAACCCAAAACCCTAATAAACTAATCCTAACCTAATCGGCCTACCCTAGCCGCCCAACCCTGCTAATAAACCTAACTTTATTAACTATTATTATATATATCTAACATTCCACCCTCCTTGAAAGCGACCTTATCCTCAAGGTTGGAGTCAACTTTCGTCTTCTTGACCTTCCGCTTTCTTCGTTTCCAATTGCGCTCAATCCCTCGAATGAACTCTTCTCACACCAGTCCAACTTTCCTCGACTCTCCTCCACCCACGTGACATGTGTCACGTTCTTCATAGCCGAACAATCCGCCATCTTCCTTTTCGAAATCAACGAAATAAGAATCGGAGAATAGTTCTTCATTTTGCCCATCATCATTACCCACCTTGAGATCTTCAATGAAATGTTCCATAAATTTCTCCATGGGCTTGGTGGTGAAAACAACCCATAACTTTACCGAACCTTCCTTTCCTACTCCCTTGGGTCGGCCCACATTAGCTTGTAAGAATGAGTTGTGGCCCAAACCCAAGTCCAGCCTCTCCTTACTCCTAACTTCGCATGGGCTTGTCTCCTCCAAGAGCCCACCTTTTAAGTCCACCAAGCTTTCTTCTTTCTTTAAATGACTTCTCTGTAAAATTAGCCCAATAAGATAGCCATTGTTGGGCTCGATTTCTTTAAGACTTGGCCCATCAACGAATATAAACTTCCCCTTATGATGCGGCCCAATTGTCTCAAAGGAGCCCACCACTTCCTTCTCCTTTGCCAGCCCATGGTCAAGACTGATGGGCCCAAGCTCTGTATACTCTGGCCCACTAAGGTTGTAGGGTTGCAACTCTTGGAAGGGAAAGAGAGGCAACGAAGCGCATGAGGGAGGAGCATCGCCGCCCACCGTCTTCGTCTCCCTCGTCCCTTCTTTTCCCGACGGACACCCCGGCTCCGACGATTTTCTCATCGAACGGCGACCACCACGCCGAAAGGGAGGAGGGCCCAAATCCGTCATCTTCTTCGTTCGTTCCTCCTTCGTCTCCGTCGTCGACTCGCTCCCGGGCAGCGGAGCTGCCACTTCCTCCTCCGACGGCCTCGTCGTCTTCTTCGTCGGCGGCTCCTTCTTCGGCGACGCTCGCTCCTCCTCGTTCTTCCACACCTCTTCCAGTTTCAACTTCAACATCTTTGTGAGTTCGTTGATTGAGAGCCTTTCGAATTTCGACATGGCTGCGATACGAGTGCCTGCAACCGGGCTCTGATACCACTGAAAGAACCCCGCTTCTAGGGATTCTAGGGGCTGATCTTCGGCACTCGTGAGATTGGGATTTAGGATGGAGATTAGGGATTTAGATAGGAGAATTGGGGATTAGGGATTGAAGAACAGGATTGGGGTTGAGATAGAAGAATGGCCTGCGGCCTTTAGGGAAGAGGGACGAGATTTGAGAGGGATTAGAGACTAGGGTTTGATAGATACTTTCTGTAATATTATTCTTGGCTGACTATGACGTAAACCCAAAGTACATATTTATAGGAAATAAACCCAAAACCCTAATAAACTAATCCTAACCTAATCGGCCTACCCTAGCCGCCCAACCCTGCTAATAAACCTAACTTTATTAATTATTATTATATATATCTAACAAATGTATGGCTCTACAGAATGGCCCGTGGAGGCCACCATGGCTAATTTCAACTCAGAAATCCCCTTTGGTTGTGGAAGGAATTATTCTCGATAAGGAGGTGGTTCTTGAAATGCCCAAGGATCTGGTTGTGCATTGTAAAAGGGTGGTTGTTCTTGGTACCCAAATCCGTAGTCTTCTCCTTACTGGTTATCCCATGAAGTTTTGGGGTAATACCAGCCAGGCGTTGGTTGATGCCTCGTTGGTCGGAAAAGCTATAGGCATCCATGATTCATATATGCACAACCAAAAACAAAAACACTAAAGTGAAAAGCAAAGGTGGAAGAGAAAACTAAAGAAATAAAAGCTAAAGTCAAAAATTTCTGCCTTTCCTAATAATCTAGAAATTTCCCAGCAATGGCGCCAAAAACTTAACTCGTCAAAACACAACTCCTAGAAATGGCCAAGTGTAACCATTGAATGTGGTTGCAATATAGTGGAACAAGTAATAAATATTGAATCCACGGGTCTCTAGAGGTACTAATACTCAGGTTCAGTTCATTATCTAGCAAATCAGATTAAGATTTGATTAACTAGATTACTCTATAAGCTAAAGTAGGTTAGACTACTAATCACAGGTTGGGAACTCACTTAGGTAAAATTCCTCCTAACCACTAGTAGGATTAATGATCGATGATGTCTAACTTGATTCATTTTCATTCAGAATGCATAGTCCTTTACTAGACCTTGAATCTCTACTAAAGCAATCAAGTCCCTCTTGAGTCAATTGCATGCCTAGAGGGACGTATCATTCTCTGGAACAACTGACCAATGCATTCTATATTATAATCCCATTATAGAATGAGGTTCTCAATCGATAAACAAAAAGGAATCTATTCACTATTAATGCAAATGATCGCCTACTATCAATCTATGGTGCTATCTTGACCTAATCTGGTATTATTCCCTCTTTTAGAATTAAAACATAATTAATAATCTCGGCTAAAGTAGGCTTGAACATCTAAACATGTATAGATTGAATATAAACTCAATATAATCAAGAGAGAGTACTCATACAATCATCCAATAAAACAAACATTACTAGGAATCCTCAAAACCTAAGTGAAGGGAAGTTACTCAATAGAGAAGAGAGAGAATGCAAAAATTTGATCTAGATCTTCAGTATCCATATCCAAGCTTGATTCCCGAGCTCTAATGGTTAAAAAATTTCCCAAAATAGCTCCAACAATGATCCCAAGTTGCTCTCTTGCTCTAGGGTTCGTCCCTTGGGTGTTTGAGATCCAAAACCAGCTCCCGCTTGCAAAAATTGCAGAAAACGCACTTATACCCGCGTAGGGGGGCAGAAACACTGTCGTGTTCTACCCCTGCCCTTGTTTATTCTCGGCACCTAAAACACTGGCACAAGAGGGCAAAACACGATCGACCGTGTTTCTACTGCCTGTGTTTCTTCTTCACCTCGTCTTTTGAGTGGCCAAACAACCTCCGATTGACATGAAACTTGCACCTATGCCTCCCTTTACGTGTTAGGACCTGCAATATAACAAAAGAGCATAATCTAGCATAAAATAGGTCGAGGAGAACACTAATATAATTCAAATCAATCAAGAAACGAGGGTGCAGACATGTGTAAATATAGTGTAATCAATTACACTTAAAAGAAATGCTTTCCGGCCAACTAGACTAACCGAAAGCTATTTTTTATACATGCCATAGTTCTAGTATTTAAATCCTTTCTCCCCTAACCTAAAAAAAATCTCATGCAAAAAAAAAAAAATCAATTACTCTATTCAGGTAACAACAAATCACCACTAATAATTAAAAAAATGTCAACCATCATTACAACCACTAAAAATCCTCAATCTCATACTAACCCAAATCCTCCCCCCCCCCCCCCCCAAATAAAAACCATTCTTCCCCTCTCTCCCCCTTGAAAAAAAAATCCCCCCTGCCACCGGCCTGCAGACGAAAAAGAAAGGGCGGATCCTTCCGCCCGCATCTCTTCCGTTTGCGCTCCCTCCGGTGCATCATTTCCCAATCCCCCGGCCAGTCTCCTCTCGGAGACCATCACGTAAAATAAACAAATAAAATAAAAATGTGCGGGAACTCGGTAGGCTGCAAGGCCTTCCGCTGCATGCTCTACATCGTCGTGATGATCGTCTGCATTGCGTACCTCGTGGTCGTCACCGTGATCACCCTCCGGTACGGTCCCAACGCGCAGCCGCTGGAGATCCGGGTCCCGCCGGTGGCCGTGGAGCTGGACCTTTCCGACGAGACCATGCCATGGCTGTCGTTCGTGAACCGGAGCACCATCCGGTTCGTGAACCGGAAGGACCACCTCAACATCACGATCCGGCGCGTGGAGGCGCTGTTCATGTACGCCGGCTTGCCCGTGACGTGCATGATCCAGACCAAGCCCGTGCAGCTGCCCGGCAGGAGCGTGGGCGGGGTGGAGTTGGAGGCGGTGATGTGCGACTCCGGTGGGAAGTACACGCACGGGCCGTTCCCCTACACGGAGAGCATGGCGAGTGAGGCGCGTGGGAAGGGGAGGCTGCGGCTCGGGGTGACGATGAACGTGCGTGCGGGTTACTCGCACCAGCCGTGGGGATGGGACGTCTTGCTTCAGCCGGAGTGCGGCGAGCTGGCGATCAGGATAGCGGATTCAGGGAGGGTAATTAGTAGTAGTAATAATAATACTGACGAGAATAATGATAATAATAATAATAAGAATAATGATAATGTGTTTTTTGGGACGGGGAGGTTGAATTGTGTTGTTACAGATCCTCTGTGGGTTAGGTGATGATGTATATGATGAATGATGATCAATATTATTATTGCTCCTCCCTTTTTTTTCTCTCCCATTTTGGTTTCGATATGAATGAGTTCTTGATGAAATGGTGTGATGGATATGTTAGATATGGTGAGGTTATGACGAATTGAGGTATACTTTTTTCTTTTACAGGGTTGCTTTCTGTGAACTTTTTGACGATTCTTGTGTGTTGAATTTTGTTTTTTTATCACGAGAAAGAAAAAGATGTTCGTTGAATATTGTTCTGTTTATTTTCCGGGAAAGAATTCTTGTTGCTTGACATTTTGAAGGAAAGCTCTGCTATATCAGCCTTTTCGTCTCCGTTCCTCCAGTGTGAAATTATTTTCAGTGATGGTGTCGTTAACGGTGAACCTGTTACTTGATCGATCATATGTTTATTGGCCGATATGCTAGCTAGGCACAGATGATGGAAGTTGATAACTTGATATACGAAGATTTGAGTTTGCCAGTTTCTTTGGGGTGTCATATTGACGAACCAGAATTAATGAGTTGGGGTAATATGGTTCATTTTGTTCACCAAATGTTTGATGTTGTTGAGGTGAGTTAATTTGCATGCCTCAACGAGGCCGAGAGAAAGAAACACGGGAAAAAAAAACTGTTGGGTGCTCTCCCCACGACGGGCGGTTTCCACCCCCCAATCCTCGCCGACGTGCGACCTCCATCTCGCGAATTCCGGCGACGTGCCTCTGCTCCCGGTTGGGTTGGCTCCCTAATGGGTTCTTCAAACAGCCATTTAAGGCGTCGATTGCTCCTCATTTCCCAATTATTGACTCACCGATCTCCCTTTGGCCTTTACTCTTTTCATCTCTGCTATGTTGAACCCTACCTATCATCCTCCAATGGCTGCTGAACTATTTGCTGTTTACAACGATGAAGTTGTTGCTGTCGCTGAAGAGAGGGCCGAGCTTAGTCTCTGTAACACCCCGATATTTTAGATTAGTTTCGACCTTAATACGTGATCGGTTGGATTGAGGATTACATACTAAGAGTTACAATCGCGGATTAAGAACAATAATATTATAATATTATTATTATTATAACCCTATTTAAAAAAAAAAAAAAAAGAGGAAGCAGAGTGGGGCGTCCTCCACTTCCACCCCTCCCCAGTATAAATCCCCCCCTCCCAAATAGAAAACCCAGCGGAAATCAATAAACCCAGCCGCAAAAATTAAACAACCCTTCTCGGGTCGGATACAATACATCTCATCTCATTTTTCTATTTTTTATGCTTATCAAGATTTTTATTTTAAATGATGTGAGAGCATTATTTGAAAGTAATGTTTATGATACTCGTTGGTGGTGATATTACGGGTAATTAGTTTATGGGGTCGTTTGGATTAGGAACTTGGATTATGAGGGATTTGTGTCCAAATTCCTTATTTAAAAAACCAGAAAATGTAAATGAGAGATTTAAACAAATAACTTATTTGTTTATAATTAAGGATTTTAAATGATAAAACGAAATTACAATTTTGCCCTAAACCTCTTCTTCCTTTCTTTCTTCATCGCAACCCAGAACCCAGATTTGAACTGATGCTTCATTTTCCGAGTTGAAAAATCACCAACTTGTTCTTCTTCGTCAATCAATCGCCATCGTTGTTCTCCCCAGGCCGTCAAACGAAGAAGAATCCCCTTTGTTTTATCTCCTCTCTCTACTCTTTCCAATCGGCCATCCCCAATCTTAATCCATAGAACTCAATTGTTGATCCAGATCCCAATCCCCATTTATCATCCCCCGCGCCGCATATATCATCATCGTCATCAACCTATTGCTGCTGCTACTGGTAGTAGCAAAATTGATGACTGGTGGCAACGTAATCGGTGGGCAACCGAAGCTAGGAAGGTAGAATGGGATAATTTGAGAGGCCTGGAGAAGAAGAATCGCCCTGAGAATGAAGCGACGGAGCGACGACGATGCCAAGTTGCGGCCGGATGGGTGTGCGGGCTTTTGCCCTGTTGGAGAGTAATCGTCGACGCCGCACGTCCTGTAACACCAAGTCACCAACCCTGAAAATTGATTGGTCGACGGCGGAATAACAGTTTAGGAAGGAATCGCGGGTACCGTACGATTCAGATGAGCCACTGGGAAGCTCGCGAAGTCCCGTCGTCTTGTAACGCCGGCTATTGGGAATTGATTAGTCGGCGGCGGAATAAGAGCTTAGGATGGAACGATTAGCCACCGGGAATAGTGGAAGAAAGGGAAGGATAAGGTTGGAAGAATAAAAACAGAAATGAGAGATTTTAAAATACTTGGGGTACATCAGCTATTTCAAAAACTTGGATATGAGGAATTTTAAAATTTCTTTTGCTCATAATCCCTTGTCTTCCCAAACGCATAATTCTGCCAAAATTCTGTAGAATGAGGGATTTTAACAAAATCCTTCCCCTAAATTCCTAATCCAAACGACCCCTATAGGTATTTTTATTGATTAGTTTGTCCCAATTGGAAGACAATATTGTAGTACGTATCGCTCTCTATTTTCACTACAAAATTTTGTTGACTAAATGACGAGAATTTTCATAAAGCTCATCAAATACACCTTCATCACACCACAAAATTAATAAAGCAAACAAAAAAGCTTACAGAGTATACCAGAATCTTACCACACCATAATTCATAAACCACACCACAAATACCATAAAGCATATAATAAAGTATATCAAAACCTCACCACACCACAAAATTCATAAAATCATATCACAAGTTTGTTAAAGACTACCAGAAACTTCATAAAACATATCACAAATTTCTTAAAGCAAATTAGCAATCTCATAAACTTGGACCTGTTTGTACATTTTAAAAGGTTTATGTATCAAAATGTAAGAGAGAGAACTTTTAGGTACTAAAATTTAATTCTCTATCAATACTTTTAGGACTTATATGTAAAAAATTAATTTTAAGTACTAAAATCTATCAATAATTTTAGGACTTATATGCAAAAAATTAATTTTATGTACTAAAATCTATCAATACTTTTAGAACTTATATGCAAAAAAATTATTTTATGTACTAAAATATAATTTAGCATCAATATTTTTAGGGCTTGTATGCAAGAAATTAGTTTTAGCTACTCAAATGTAATTTTTCATCAATACTGAAAAATTTATAAAGCACACTACGAAATTCATAAACCACACTAAAAATAAAATAAAAACATATTAGAACCTCACCCCACCTCCATGCAATGTTTGAGTGATTTTTCCTTCATCCACCATGCATGTAGTGGGTGGCTCCAAAACCCACCCAAATCCGCATAAAAACCACCAACTCCTTACCGCTACATGCTCCTTCAAACAAAAATCAAATTATGGATTGCATGTTTGCACATGCCAACATTGCACTATGCTTAAACCAACCGTTAATATTGAGGTTTATAGGGAACACGAAACCTCTTGGGTAGAAGCCTTTAATTTCAATCGAGAATCAGTTGATCCGAATAACTCGAGTTATTGCGAGAAATACAAAAATAAATCATTCCTTACACCGTTACACGCCCCCTAAAACGAAAAACCAATCGACAGGTTTGAAATTTGCACAACCAATTGTACATATTATTAAACTCAATTCTTACTATCACAGGTTGTTACAATTAAAACACGACAACTCGCAATCAAAACTATAATCTCATGTTACAAAACCAATTCATATCAATAAGTCAAAAATCTTTATATAGCAAACATCCGAGAGACCTCAATGACCCTTTATGTAATTGGTCATTCGTTTAGTTGTCCATTTGTCTCTATGAGCTAAAAATTTCACAATTAGGGCGAAAGCATTTCTTTGGAAGTCTAGCAAACCTCTTCCTACTAACACTCGACCTTCACATTCTCCGACATTTTGCCAAGCTACAACTTTCAATACACCGACCGAAATTGAAAAACCTCCAAAAATCCGCACAAGTCAAGGAATCCAACCGTCTCTCCATGAAAAAAAAAGTGTTTTGACTTTATTCTATTGATTCTTTTGCTTGCAGTTGAAGAATGTAAGGGGGAAAAAAGGGTTATCGTTGACTAACATGTCGAATCAACAGTATTGATGATTATCCATGATGACTGATTAATTAAGTAACGATCTAAACGTGAAGTTTTGATTTTGTTGGGCAACCAACTTTAATGGTTAGTTATGCTCTTATTATTAGTTGATTTGAGAGATGAGAACAAAGATATGCAGAAGGCTTTACACGAGCCCTTTCTAGAAGTACAGTGATTTTTTGTACTGTCAAAATCCATCACCAACCATCATTCAATCTTGGGCAACTAACCTAGTACCTAACCATTCTTTTTAATTCACTACTAACTTAATTAACCAATTTTTTGTTTTCTGTTTTCAAGCAATGTTATTCCTTCTCCACATGTATTGTCGCAAGCATGACCTCGGCCAAAATAAATACAAAAATTTGGGACGAAAACAATTGTTGTGTCTTATTAAATATCTTTTCTCCTCGTTCTTCCCTTGAAAATTGCACAGTTATTTTCTCCTCATTACTTCAGTCCTCTCAAATTTTCACTTCCTCAAAATTTTCCTTTCCCTTCCTAATTTTCCCTATCTTTCATGAACGGAGTGTAAAAAATGAAATTGTCATACTCATCCTTCAAGGAAGAAATTAAATCAAACTTTATCATTACAAATAAATCAGATTAACTTAATTGATTAATATCCCTATATTTAGGAATCTTGGTCTCTTCTCTTTGTCATATGTCTCTCAACCTTTACCTAATATGTCCACTTAATTGTTGCCTGTCGGTCTAGTAGTTTCTTGTTCCCATGTCAATGAGTATATCAACCAAATCCCATTGCCTACCAAATCGTTGAATTAAGTAACAAATCAATGTGTCCCATTAATACAAATTGGTGAAAATTTCTGCAAAAAGGATTTTTTTTGTTGTTGTTGCAAAGTTTTATTTATTGGTACTTATGTAGTGAATATGAAATTTTCAACGGAATGGTATAAGGTCGTATTTTTGAACCTCTTTCAGCAACGTAACCAACATCAACGGTATCTCGACACTATTTAAATTAAACTTGCATAATTCGGACTTCCACATGGATCTATATAATGACACTATATAAGATGAAAAGAAAACGATAAAAATCCAAAACAAAACAATATTGACGTCCATCCTTTTCCCCCATAAAGCTAGAAGCTGCAGGCGAGATACCATCAAGTAGTTATTTGCTGGGTTTTTGCAGCTTTAGAAATGGTCAAATTTGGATCTCCGTATTCCAGTCCATGGATCAAATCTTTCTTAATTAATTATCTCTTTCTTATATAAATACACTAACCGCTCCATTACCTAATAGTACCATCAACCCTTGTTTTTATTCTTAGAATTCTCCTCTCCTCTCCGAATCCTTTAATTTGCTATTTTTCATTCATTAATTTCATCCCAGAGAAAAAATGCCTGCAGCTGACATCTCATCGTCACCGGCCGGCGGCGGCCATGGCCAGACAGTCTGTGTCACTGGCGCCGGCGGCTTCATCGCCTCCTGGATTGTTAAGCTTCTCCTTGCTAGAGGCTACTCGGTCAGAGGAACCGTCAGGAACCTAGGTTGGTTGTCTTCCATTTGCATGTCCCTTTCTTTCTCTCAATCACTCGTGTTGTTGGGTTGTTGAGAGTGGTCCGATAATAAATTCGGTATCACACACTAACATGCTCATTCAGATTAATACCAACTCATATGGGTTTGAATTTCGCGTAGCTACGAAAATCATGTGTTTAAACACATGGAAGTCATGGAATTAGAACACAAGAACTTTCGGTTCACGTAGGTTCTGATACTATATCAAGAACTCCTTGATTATTCCAATAACTCGAGTTGTTGGAAGATGTTGAATAATGGATAATAACACTTTCTTCACGATAAAACATATATATATATAGTTGAGAATTATCTAGCGGGTCGTTTGGATGCATTATTTTGATTTGGTGGTATTTCGAATCAAATAACTCACAATGAGTTATATTTCAATTGCCTCATGGGCAAAAAATACCACATTCCATTATTATTTTTTCCAAACGAGTTATTTCAGCCGAAATAACTCAATTCTTAGTTATTATTTCAGCTGAAATACCTGCTCGAATTACCTCATCCAAACAACCCTTTAATTAATCAGTTTTCTTGGATTTATGCATAATCTGGATAATACATGTATATAATATTTTTCAGAGGATCCCAAGAACGAGCACCTGAGAGAACTAGAAGGAGCAAAAGAGCGGCTGACCCTATGGGAGGCCGATCTTCTGGATTACAACAGCCTTGGAAGAGCCATAAGTGGCTGCCATGGCGTTTTCCATGCCGCTTGTCCCATCACCGATGATCCCGTAAGTTATTTTTCAGTCCTTATATATAATTAATGACTAGGCGCTGGACTTTTGCTTACGGAAAGAGGCCGGTTCAGTAGAAATGGATAAAATCTTACATAATTATGCGTGGTCGACAATTTGAAGGAGCAAATGTTGGGGCCGGCGGTGGATGGGACAAAGAATGTGATCACGGCGGCATCGGCGGCCAAAGTCCGGCGGGTTGTCTTCACGTCGTCGGTGGGCGCCGTGTATATGGATGCCAACCGGAGCACCGACGTGGTGATGGACGAATCGTATTGGAGTGACCTTGAATATTGCAAGGACACCAAGGTATACATGTATATTATTTTTTTGGCAAAATACACCTGTATAGCCATAACTTTCACACTTTCGACAAATATAGCCATTTCTATTCGAAAACCACAAATAGCCAATTCCGTCCATTTTGGTAACGGTGTTAATAGACGTTATGACTAGACTAACGGCTGACGCTGAGTTGGCCACTGAGTTACCCTACCTTCCGACGTGGAAATGAAAAAAAAATGAAAAAAAATCTAAACAAAAGGAACAAATTAACACAAAATCCCCAACACAAAATCCCTAAAATCTATTTGCCCTTTGTCTATCCCTAAAAATCAAAAACTTCAATCGACATCCTCTCTGCCGGCTGGATCCCCTCGAGGTCGAGGAGCACCTCAAGCAGCCGCCGCAACCCATCGCCACCTGAAATACCACCACCACCAGCACTCCTTCATCCTCAATCGTCGTCGCGATCATGGCAGCTTCGTCCATGGTTGGCTCCGCAGATGAGGCAGAGATTTAAGATGTGGGAGAGCGAGTTGAGAGGGTTCAAGCAGCTGGGGATGATTCATGCTTGTTCGATTGGGAGAAATGGTGAGGGCGAGCCGGTACGAGGAGCTGAAGGGGGAGAGGGCTGCGGTGAAGGAGGAGCTGCAGGGCCTGGCTGTGCGATAGGATCGGTGAGGCAGATCTGAATTGGAGACGGAGGGAGGTTGGGTATATTCTCTGGAGATTTTGGGTATTCTGGGTTTGGGATTTTTGTTGCAGGGAAGGGAATTTGTTCGGAGACGGAGGGGGTCGGGTCGTTGGTTGGGAGCAATGGTCGCCGGTTGGGAATGGCGATTGATGCGGCGGTGCTGGTGGGAAAGTCGATTAATGCGGCGACGGCGACTTCGTTGAAGCTGTGCCTCTCCTGGGAACGACGGCATCGTTGGCGATTTGGGAGGATGGAAGGGTCGCAACGAGAAGAACGGAAGTTAGAAGAGATTTTGATAGAGAAGAAGTGAAGAAATTGACTTTTTTGGTGATGATTCAGCCTCTGTTTATCTCTGCCATTGAGATGGTGGAGGAGTCCATCGGAGAACAGATGGGGAAGACAAAGGAGAGGAGAGAGGGAGATGAGGCTGGATATTGAAAAGGAAAAAATAAATAAATATTTTATGTTTTTAAATTAGTTATTAATTAATTAACTAATTTATTTTTGAATTAAAATATGACATGGCACTTACGTGGCAAGTGTGGTTGAGTTGTCGCTGACGTGTGCGATGAGTTGGCATCCTAGTCAGGTTAACGTTAACCTAACTAACGGAGTTTCTAACACCGTTAAAGTTTCTAACGGAAATGGCTAGATTTGTCACATGACCATCCAATTTCTTGGCTATTTTGTGTTTTCCAATAGTTATGGCTATATTTGTCAAAAACGTGAAAGTTATGGCTATACAAGTGTATTTTGCCTATTTTTTTTAATTAGTTTGCATATATGTAGCTAGCTTATATTTGGCATATATATAATATATAGTCTGCATCCACATCTATTAGATGCATTTTGTTACATGATCAAAAGGTTTGGTGGCCACCTAAAGAGTCACATTGCTCGGTCCATTCACTTTTTTTTTTTCATTCACACCATTTTAGTGATTGTTCACGTAATTTAGGGTTATTTTTTTAGTAAGAGTTATGATTATCCACGCAATTGAAATTTCAAATCTTTTCTCTTTTTTTCTCCTAATAATTCGTATTTGCTATATTTTATAGAATTAAATTTGAATTTTTTGATTTTCTGTAAAAATAAGTAGCATTGATAATAATCTACAAAATAACATTCATTTTTATATATTTCGAAATTTAAAAAAATAAGTTTTACACCGGCATAAATATATAACAATATGCATAACTAAACACAAGGTTGCGTGAATAATCATATTACTGTTTACATGAGTAACCACCACTATTACGTGAATAAACACCAATATGACTTGAATAAACAGACACCCAAAAATACTGTTGTGACTCGTCACTAGGGGGTGGCTATACGGTCCGGTCCAATTAAATTGGCCCGAATTGATCCGGTCCTGGTCCGGTCTTTTCTGGAATATAAGGACCAAAGATTGGATTGGATACAGTCCGGTCTTTGATTCGGTCGGGTCTTAATCCGGCCTGGTCCCAATTCGGTTTTGATTCTAGATTGAGTTTGTGGGAATTCGAGTGGCCTGAGTTGGTTAAGTTTTGGGTGTTGGATTCTCTTATCCGGTCGCAAAAGGTTTTTTTTTTACCTCAAATCTAAACCTGAATATGAGATTGAATTTTTTGTTATCTGGTTTCGATTCCGATCCCAATCCGAATTATACGGTCCGATTTCGGATAAAACCAAGTAGACCGGACCAAATAGGCAACCCTACTCGTCAATAATTTTGTCTTTGATTTTTTCTTCTTTTAGAATTGGTACTGTTACGGCAAGACCGTGGCGGAGCAGACGGCCTGGAAGCTGGCGAAGGAGATGGCCGTGGATCTGGTGGCGGTGAATCCGGTCGTGGTGTTGGGTCCGCTGCTGCAGTCGAGCGTCAACGCGAGCAGCGTCCACATCCTCAAGTACCTAGCCGGATGGGTCAACACCTACGCCAACGCGGTTCAAGGCTACGTCCACGTCAGAGACGTCGCCCGAGCCCACGTTCTCGTGTTCGAGGCCCAGTCTGCCTCCGGCCGATACCTCTGCGTCGACAGCGTCATCCACCGCGGCGAGGTGGTCGACATCCTCGCCGAGATGTTCCCCGAGTATCCTCTCCCCACCAAGTGAGTACCAATCTCCATTGTTATAAGAATCGGACCGGAGGCACAATAGAACCGCCAAATCAGTTACAATAGCTGTCCGGTTCATTGCTTGTACGGTTACTAATGAATCAGATGATTTTCCACGGTTCAACATAAAATTAGATGAACCACCACAATTTAACTAGTACATTGGTTCACTATTTTAACCACATTTTTTAAAAAAAAATTACTTTAACATAAACTAAGACCATCTAATCATAATTATTAATTTTATATCTGCTTTCTCTTCTTATTTTCCAACCTTGTTGTCGACTTTACGTGGTCCACTACTGACTTGCACCGTAATTTAAAATTTGAATTAAAAAAATATAATTTCTTTTGTGAGACGGATTGTATGATTTATTAGATATTTTGGTGATGATATGAATCTGAAATTGTTTATAGTCAATAATTACTTCATTCTTAGATTAGTGCCATATACAAGTCTCATATGTTATATATCATGAACGGTCCTATCAAAGGTCAACCCACGATTTCGTAACAGTTGACCACCGAAGCCTAAACCACTAACTATTCCGATCCAGCCTCCGGTCCGGTTATGAAAACAGAGCCAATCTCCAATTTGCATTGGTAATTCACTTGATCATATGTAAATATACATGAGGTGATGTATATTTGAAAGTTGAAACTGATAATACATGCAGGTGCTCGGATGAGAAGAACCCAAGAGCAAAACCACACAAGTTCAACTGCCAGAAGCTGAAGGAGCTAGGGTTGGAGTTCACACCAGTGAAGCAATGCTTGTATGAAACTGTCAAATCCCTCCAGGAAAAGGGCCACCTTGTTACCCTCCCTGATAAACAGCATTAGGAAATCATCTGCTCTTCACACATACATGTACCAACTTAAATGTTGCACTGTCATTATTATATTTTATGCCCTAGCTAGATCCCATCTTGCCAGTGGCTTAATATATTTCCTTGCACTGCTTGGCTAGTTAGGGATCTGTAACAATGCATGCGTTGGTATCGCAATGAAGGGGGAAACGTCTTAAAGATGGCGAATTTGAGAATTAGGGTTAATTTTTCCATGAAAGGGCTTGAAAAGTGTACAAGGACTTATTTTTTCAGATGATGGTAGTACAAAGAACTTGCTACAAATGCCACCAACCGTTCTAGTTCATGGGTCATCACAAACATGGATTTTCCCCCCCACAAAACACACACCAGACAGCAAAAGATGGCTTCTCACTATACAAATCTCCCGACCAACGGTTCAAAAATTAATAAAACTACATCCTCTGGGAACTTCAAACATTCTCAACTCAACTATTTTTGGTGTCTTTATACTTGGCTTCCCACCACATACCAAATGGCAGCAAGCAGGACTTTTTCCTATGGTTTCCAGATGTGTTTTGAAATGCATTTCATATCAAAGGATTCGGTCTTGAAGATCTGTCATCAATGACGATGCTAAGGAGCTGAGCTTCTTCGTCGTCTCTCCAGCGATGTTCTTCAACGAGGCAATATCTTGTTGTGTCTGAAAATTGTGATAAGAAACAGAGAGCTCAGGCAAAAAAAAAAAAAAAAAAAACATTTCCAACCAAATCAACTTTTCTTATGTTTAAGCAGTTTTTAAGAACCATATACCTGGAAAGATAGCCGGTTGATCATGTCACTTGCAGTAAGATCGATGGTTGCATTGTCGTTGCTGCGACCAAAAAGATCCGCACTTGAGATGGATGAAGAACCCTGGAAGGTCACATTGATTGGATTTGTTTATTACTTGTGGGGAACTTAAACGTAGAATCGCGACTATCCATTTGAGAAAAAAAAAAAGAACTTGGAAGGTAAGAGTTAGTTATTCATGATAGACTTAGCAACCACAGAATCAGGCATACCGAGTATTTCTCCAAAGAAGCTTGAGCATCAACATCAGCTGATTTATTCTTATCGCCAAAAAATTGAGCTGATGAAATCGACTTGGCATTTGAGAACTTTTTCCTAGCTTCATCCGTCTCCTCAATCTGAAAAGAGGACTTGATTATAAGCAGAAAAAGAGACAGCACATGGCACTATGGCAGTCCACAAAATCATGTACAAGTGACACACATAAGATGAGATTAAGTGAAAGACTACTTGTACAGGACATGAAAGTTTTTAACCATCACCCACAGGATTGTGAAAATGATGACATGGGAAAAATCAGGGTCCCTGCTCAGCCAATGTTACTGGCAAAGAACAAAGGGACAGGAGAACGCTGCCTATCATGACATGAACAATGTTCTAGATAGCAAGCTCAGCATGGTAGATGTTGATAGAAGATCGGAAAAATTAGGGAAAATATCACTAGCAGATTCAATGAGCATGCTCGAAGACTATTGACTCCTGTAATGCATGGTTTCAATTCGAGGTCAGTAACCAGCTTTTCCGAAATTCACCCAGATTCCATTCACAACAAAATAAGAAACAGTTTCCATTAAGGGCTCTAACTTTAGAAGCGAGAGTTGTATTGAACAGTAGGCAATTTAAGTTAAGAATGAGACATCAGCCTACTTTCAGAATATCAGCCATAATATAATTGAAAACTTCACCAAAACTTACTTGCACTCTAGAGGAACTTGAGTTCCCTATTTTCTGGAAACCACTATCCATTCCAAGATCTGCAAAGAAGTTTGATGACTTTGGTGCAGAAACATGGCTAATCACTCGTTGTCCACCAGGAACCATATCCGAGGGCTGGATATTGTCTACATACTTGAAACGAGATGTAAGAGATGCCCCAGTTTTTGGGTTGCCAGTCGAAGACAATGGAACAGGAAGAGGTAACTCTTCAGGCTTCTGATCATAGAGACTTTCATTTGGCTGCACATCAAAATGTTTGACAATTCTATTTTAAAGCATGTTGCCAAGTCGATAAAATGGAATAGTTTCAACTTTCAAATTCATTCTGGTCCTGAGATTTGAGAAAATATATTAAGTACAAAAGAACGAGAAAAATATCTATCTACCTTTGTGGTGAGCTTTTTGGCACCAAGACCCCCAGTCTTCCCAGATTTCCTTGCTGCAAGAGGCTTCTTGACTGTAGAAGTGGTAACTACTGGATGGACTTTTAAAGGGGGTGCTGACAAAGTAGCTACCACAGGTGTTTCCTGCTTTTCTAATGATGGTTCTTTAGAAGAGTCAGTTATAGTCACATCAAGCAATCCATTTGTGCCTTCAGCAGACTGACAAGAAACTGGCGACGATGGCAGGGCCACATCTTCGGCAACACTTTTTGCAACCTCCTTTGAGAGAATTTGCCTATACAAATCTGCAGCTCTAGATGTATATTTTCCCTCAATTTTACCCCCATCTGTCCAGCCATGCTGCTTAAAGAACACATTTGCACGGTTATTTCCACCCAAAGTCATCATCTTTAACTGCTCTGGCGTCCATGAGTCTAAAGTCGTGGACCTGCCAAACAAAATAAATGGGTTTATAAATCAGCTTATGTGAATCTAAAAATGAAGAACTACAATTCAAGACCATACAGACTTGATGACAACACAAAGAGACAATTGTGGAGATAGGCAAGAAAGCGAACTGCCCAAAAATGGCCCCAGATTTCATACTCATATTCTTATAACAAGCATTCAGCCTCGAGTATAAGGTACTCAGATGAAACCTTTTGCATACCAAGCCAAATCAAATATTGTGCCTTATTGGCATTTAGCCTCCAGCATAAGGTACTCAGATGAAACCTTGTGGAGCTTTCAAGCCAAACCAAAATACACCTCCCCCCCCCCCCCCCCCCTACACACACACACACACCCAACAAACACCAACTACTTTCCCAATATAAAATACTGAATAGCCAATCCTTAAATGAAATAACCGTAAAACAAAGCGAAATGGGAGGGCAGTGACCTGTCCGATTACCTTACAAAAGTCAGATGCACACCAAGGCTACGATGAATAGCAGAACAATCGATGCAGAGGAAGACCCCATAGGTTACAGAAGCCCACGTAGGATTCTTTGCATTACAATCAAAACACATCTGTAGAAAAGGTAATTGACTTTACTTCCAAAATCCAGATGGGAAGACAACCCAACATAACTGAAACCAAAGCCATAGCCCATAAGGAAGAAATCGTAATTATCAGCACAAGGAAACATACTTTGTTCTCAGATTTTCCTCTGAGTTTCCTAAACACTGCATCTTTGTCAGTAAAATTGTCGATAGATGCCATGATTGCTTGCTGCTTTCACCAAACAAGACAAGAGATTGTGGTTAGAATTTAGAAAGAAGAAAAGTTTGGGAATACAAAAGATGTAAGTGGAGTAATCTTGCTTTCCCACACCTCAGATATGTACAATACTAGACATTCTTAGTTCGAACATTTCAGTAGTCGTGAGATGTGCTTTGTCATATTGCATTTTGGAAGTGATAAGATTTGATAATTCCCCACTAACAAAGGGTTCGAACTAAAACGGAGGAAGAGTTCAGCTCATATCCCAGCCAATGACGAATGAACACTTCAAAGGGGATTCATCTACCTCCTGATTCCACCCTTACCATCAAACTAGAACAAGACTCTGCAGAAACAATGCCTTCATGCAAATCGATTCCAGTACACTGAATACAACAACAATTCCACAAACCCTACCGACTCTAGTCCCTCCATGCAGATCAAAGATCGAGAACAGAACAAAATACCTAGGGTTTTCACCGACGTCCTCACAAATGCGGAGAATGAACAGCAACGGATCGACAGAGACGGAAACAGATTAGGCGGAGAGGTGGTGATAGTCGGAAAAAGAGACGAGCCCTCCTCCGATCTACCGGCGTTCGCGTTTCCCTCTCCCGCACGATTTCAGCGATACCGCGCACGATCTGGTCTGAGGCGACAGAGATTCTAAGAAGAAGTAGTAGTCGACTAGTTGACCAACAACTACGGCGCCGCCCGCGAGAGGAGCGGAGGAAAGTGCGAAGGAAGACGGCGGCGGAGACGATCAGCCGGCGCGTTTTGAGCCCGCGATTTCTGAGCTTCGCCTGAAAATCTTCCCCGACGTGGAGCTATTTTCTTTTCTTTTCCACTTGTTGGTTGGGATGATTTGTTATTTATTTGATTATTTCCATTTATTCCGAAGATCAAAATGGTCGGTGAGAAAGGGACAGAAGGGGAATTAAGAGACCGAAACGGCACTCTCTTGGCCTTCCTGCCAGGATAAAAACGCCTATTTTGGTTTTACATCCATCAACAATCTTTTTCTGTCAATCACGTATTCACATTCATGGAACATTTATGTTATAGTCTTCATCCAATATCTCTGTTACAAAAAACCTTCTTTCACTGTGGTAAAAGTTGGTAAGAAATTGGATAGTAGTGACATAAGTTTTAGATTGTTTTTTTATACTTGAATATTGTTGTCACTATAAAAAAAAACATCGATCAAACTAGTTGTCTTCATTTACACACTATATTAATCATGCAGGTTCTTATACCGATTGAGATTCATATGTGGTATTTGATTGTGCACACTATGTTTAACAAGTTGATGATCATGATGACCGAGATTGCTGAACAAAGGGTGCCTAGATTGAGAGAGAGAGGTTGGTTGGTAGGTGGGTGGAATTAATGAAAGGGTTTTTTGGGGCTGGCTTTTTCGCCAAAAATCCCGCCAAAACACCCAAAAAATGGCCCAGACCCCATCCATCTCTCACTTCTCGGCCCCACCACTACCTTCAGCTCGACTTCCCCACAGCTCAAGAACGGCTCGTCCCCTTCCCCAAGCCCGTGTCCCAGCCGCTCAATATCCTACCCTCTCTTGTGGACTTATCCTAAAGAGATGAACTAGGGTGTCATGCGAATAGTTTTATGAGTTCTTCTATCACAATTACCATTTGCAGTTGTCTACCCAATCATGTATCTATAGTAGAGTGTATAGAATCACATTAGACAACATTTCCAATCATCTCATATGCAGTGGCGGAGCCACATGAGGCCAAGGTGGGTCATTTGCACCACCTTGGCCCAAAAAATATGGAGTAAATTAATTTATATGATTGTTGATAAATACAAAATTTCTATATGATTGTAGATAATTTTACGTAAAGTAATATTTTATGATCTCTATTTAACTTTTAGTTTATATATTCGATAAGAGATTTTAGTATATACAAAAACTCGAAAAGTAATGTTATTACTTAGACCTGTTTGTTGCTATCGGTTGTCATTCAAGTATTGAAAGAGTACTTATGCAATTAGCAAAGTAAAGAAATACTTCATAATAAGATGAGTTGTGTAATCATGAACGATTTTTCGTTGTGATATCTTAACATCTCATAATTTGCTTGATGAATATATTTTAGAAAATTTTCAAAACATGAACACATTCAACAACATACGTTATATATATCTTTTTCATATTTGACCCACCTTAGATAAATTTCTGGCTACGCCACTGCTCATATGAACACATAAATAAACCATAAGCAATAATGATAATCAAAGCGAGATAGACCAAACATCAGTCAATATATGTCATATACAAGCATAAGGAATAGTCTATGCCTCTCTAGAATCTATAGGGTTCACAAACCTACACAGCAAACGGTTATAGTCACTTCCCTTCAGCCCTTAAGCTCCCGCCTCACCTCCTGGATCCCTCCTCCTGTTGGCTATATGAGGATCAACTTTGATGTTGCGGTTTATGCTTCCGGTTGCTCGTCTGGACTAGTGGTTCGTGCAACAGACGAGCATGTGGCGTTGGCAGTAGGGTTCCAGCACCCAAGCATTGTTGACCCCTACCTCGCAGAACTTCTTGTAGCTCGAGACGCTATCTCCCTCTTGGTCTCCAAGTCCCTTCCTTGTGTCATCATCGAAGGTGATTCAGAAGTGGTGATTCGCCAGCTTCGCCAGGGCATTTCTTCAGATTCCCTCGGAGGCCCGGTGCTTCGTGATTGCTTCCAGCTCCTGTCTTCAGTTTCTGTTTCATTAGAGTTTAGGGCAGTTCCTAGAACTGCTAATGGGGCTTCCCATAGAGTGGCGCGCATAAAGCCCTGTTACTTTCTCCTCTTGAGATCGGTTCCTTTGACTTTGTAGGGTGGCTTCACTGATGTATTGGTTTGGGAGGGTTTTGGGGTAGATTATATAGTTTTTTCTCTCTTGACATTTCTTGGGAAAAAAAGAAGGTTATAGTCACTTATATTGGAAGAAAAACACATATACATTGAATGAGGATAAGAAAAATCTAACATATGGAAAATTCAAACTTTCTCTACTTCGATTTTCGAGGCGCCAAAAATTCCGGCATTTTCTTCATTTGCGATTTCTGGATGAATTTCCAAGATCTGGAGCTGCTATGAAGGCAGAGCGAACCCCCTGTAAAATTGTGTATGATTTTGAGTTCAACAATATCTGTGTATAGGCTTGGAAAATAGGTTTTCTTGCGGATTTCTAAGGATGAATTGTCCTCTGGAACCTACTGCCATCACACAATATTCTAGACTTCAAAAATTGACTCCAATATTTTACCAGGCAATGAAAAATATCCTGCTCTTCTGGCAGTTCTCCTCCGTGACAAAGTCGTAATCATAAACAGCATAGCGGCACTCGTCAGCAGGGATGCTAGCATCAAAATCCTCACAGCTTTGACTTGGATCACCAAGCTTCTCCACCATGACTTCCTTTTGCTTCTCCTCGATCTTGAAAATTATGGAGCGATTAGCGATAGGTCCTTTTTGCCTGCAGCTCCAAGAATTTCAATTTGCAGTCGCCATGGACTACCATACTGGATGCCGCATTTGCCTAACAAATAGCATTGCATTACAGTCTCTAATTAATACCAAGTCAAAGTTCACTAAGCCGGTTTCCCTTAACATTAAATCACAAGTCAAAGCCGCTATTTTCAGCGCAAGTTTATAGGGGTCATCGATCAGATTCATTAATTAATTGCCAAATCCAATCCCAAGAGGAAAATAATCCCTAAATTGATAGCACGATAACTACAATACCGCTGCCACCCACCCCCTCAGAGAATCTGAAACTCGATCATGACGAAATGAAGAGCAATTGAGACACTAACCAAGTAAAACCTATCAGGAGACTGCAACACAAACAATCGTCATCGACCAAGGTCGGTCCATAGCAGATGCAGAACACTAGTACAACTACCTTAAATTACACACTAAAATGAGCATCTGATCCACTTAGCAAACACAGCAGCAAATCGTCACGTCTGAAAAGGAGAAATATAGCCAACATCTAAATTCAATTCCAGATTCAGCACAACTTCCTAACATATACGCCAAACTTTGACGACGGGGGAAGAACAAACCAGATCTCAACAGTCAACGCAATGGATAAGATAAGCTAACGGGAGAAACAACAGACATCGGCAGAAATGACGAATTCCGAGCAAAATTCAAGTTCAGGACGGCCAGATCGCAACAAGTATTCGCTAACGGAAGCACTCCCTCACAGAGACCTCATCATCCAGCACACATCGAAGATGCATAATAATGGAAACCCTAGGATAGCAAAGCTGAAATCGTGGAAGAAATAAGAACATGAAGATGGGGAAAAAAACAACTCACCATTTCGCTGGATTCTTCACAGAGAGGAAAGGTGAAACCAGAGATAGAGGAATGTGAGAGTATATAGAGCAGAAGCGAAGAAGATCGTCTCCGCCCGATGGAAAAGGGATGTGTAGCGGAGAGGTGAATGGAGAGCTGGATCGCCTTTAATTAGGTGGTTCTGATTCGCGGGAAATGATACAGTGGGTGCTGTTGTATGTTTGCTTATCGTGTGTTAACATTTACAGTAATTTTTTGGCCTACTACCAGAAAAAGCATATAGTTTAGACTTTCTGTCATATGTGCCCCTTATGTTTAGCCCGCGTTAGTTATATCACACCAATTGTCTTTATGTCAAGAATGTCATCATAGTTTCGTTGACTATTAGACTTAACGGTCAACATAATGACGGTCAACATTCTGTTGACTTGATGTCACGTGTCTGCTATGTCATCGACACATCAAAAAATAATATTTTAAAATTTTGTTGACTTAGTGTCACGTGTCTGCTATGAAATCAATCTTCTTCTCCTTGCTTGCACCTTCTTCTTGCTTCTTGGGTGGATTGGATTTTCAATTAACCTCTCCCAAGGTGTTTCCCTCTCTGAAAACAACCCAAAATCCTAACTTTGTCACTCTAGGGTGGCTCTCCTTTTGAAAAGTGCAACAAGAAGGGTATTTATAGAAAGCAGACGGCGGCAAGGCCTCTAGGGTGTGATGATATGGTCACGACCGTGACCTGGCCATGACCAGATGGAACATCTCCGTATCGCCCAAAATGACGCATTTTGGCACCATCTTTAAGCTCTGAGATCGCGGCCTCCTACATAAGATCGCGGTCGTGATCTTTGTGTCTCGGACGCAATTTTTTTTCGCGGTCAAAATGCACCACATCCGCGATTTAATTGGGGAAACTTTCTGCCTTCTTCTTGGTTGCCTGTTGAAGTTCACGGCTACTGTTCACGACTGCGATCTTCAGGCTGCGAACATGGTCATGGCCTGGTGGTCACAACCGTGACGTGCGGCCGTGACTAGTGTCTTTTCTCCCATTCTTGCTCCTATGCTTTCCAATCATGCTCGAATGAACCCCGATCGATTCCCGATCAATCCCGAATGCATATAAGGCTCGGAATTTCATAAAAAAAACACTTGGGAAAGCATAAAATACGACAAATTGGGGTCGGTTTGCCTATGAAAACCTTCATATCATGAATACCTTTGCCAAAATGCATGTTTTGCAAATATGAATGAATATGAGCATAAATAACTTGATATGTGGCCTAGACACAGTGATTTGACATGCAACTGTCTTAAGAATAAGGTCTAAATAACGTCTATTTTAGGTATTATCAACTGTCACCAACGTGACAGTGGTAGCCGTAGAAGTGTATTTTGTCTTGATTTTTCTTTGAAAAAATTTGAATTCCAATTTTAAAGGAAAGTGATATTGGCCATTTAATTGGAAAGAAAAGAATTATACACGGTAACTTACCAGGTTGGTTACTGACTAATCCGTTCGCGTAAAAAACCATATGCGTTGTCGTTGGTCCTCATCAATTGAGGAACACTTAGGGTGTTCAAATGATTATCATGTTAACATAAAACCAAACAAACCTAAATTGTATTAACCATCGAATAGAATATCATAACCAAACCGTCCAAACTACTACAACAACCAAATTAACCAATATAACATCACATTATCATTAAGTGAGAAATTTTTTAGGTTAATGCATCCATTCACAATTTATATGATGAATAAAACATAACGATCAACACATAGTTATAGTTGAACCTTAAGATAAATACATGCAACCAATATAATTATCTTACAGTTAATAGAAGTATTCACCTAACAAAAATATATGTCAATAGTATGAGGTTAATGAATTGTTGTGTTTGTGTGAATTGAATTAGTCTCTTAGCAATTATCATAGGTTGAAAATGCATTCCTTTCAAGTTTTCATCTAATATAATGTATGAGTTTTATCAAAATTAGGCATTCATATATCATGGTCTACTCTCTACAAATACAAACAATATTGAGCTTTATTTCTTATGAGCGTAAAATAAATGAATGGTTGGCTTTTGAGTGGTTATGCAAAGTTTTAAGTATGTGTGTATAATGTATATTAGATATATGGATAATTACTTAACTGGTTAATTTGGTTTGATTGGTTAAGAGTGTCCTAATCCAAACCAAACAAGCTAAAAAGTTTAACCAAACCAAACCAAATTATCCAAATACTACCGGTTAAAACGGTTTTAGAAAAGGTCCAGATTTTGCCTAGATGCTCGGTGTGTTGGACGACCTCTGAAACGATGGAGCATCTCTTTTTGGATTGCCCAATCGCTGGAACACTATATATTCGCTCGGGTCTGGAGCATTTGTGGTAAGGGTTGTCGCGTCAGACCTTCCCTCTGTTTCTCAAAAAATGCTTGCTTCGGATGACCCAGCCGGCTTAAATTATGGTCATGGTTGCGGTCTTACAGCGTAATTGGAAATATAGAAATTGGGTTGTCTTTGTCTCTTTGAGGGAAAAGCACCAATAACATCAGCAACTACATGAATGGGTCTACCTGCCGGACGATAGGTTGGACCTAAATCAGCTTCCTTTGCAACATATTTGGATGCGGGAGGATCATACTTTGTTATTTGTATGTGGGATGTTGCAGTATGTGCTGACTCACATTCAACGGGAGGATTGATCCTAAAGGATGAAGAAGGCTCTGTTGTCTTAGCCAGAGGGTTGCATTTTCTTTAGAATATGGATGATCCCCTGCTAGTTGTGACTATTGTCCTTCGTGAAACTATTCAATGGTGTCGGGACTTTGGACTTGCTCAAGTTCGATTTGAAGGGAATGCTAAGGTGCCCATGGACAATATTAAAGCCAAGGATGCGCAAGATAGCCATGTTGGGGCCATTATTGAGGAAATTCTGCATATGATGACACTTCATAGTGGTTTTCATGTTCGATTTGTAAGTCATATTAACAATAGAGTAACCCACCCTGTGACTCTGAAGGCCCTTTATTTGCATCCAACCTCGTGTCGAATCTTTAATTTTTGTTCCTAGGTTCGTTTCCGGGTATAATCTCTAATCCCTCTACCAATCAATATGATTATCTTTTGTTAAAAACCTGGTTACCATGATAACCACTCCATTTGAACACCCCTGAACAATACCAATCCCAAAGGGACTCAAAATCAATACATAAAGAAATAAAATGCGTGAGACCTGGGCAACCAGGTCAAGAGAGCATGAGAGAGCACAAGATTCATGTAGAGAACCTTAACATTTCACGATAAGCATATCTTTTAGTAATAGCAGACTAGCAGTACATATCAAGAACAAACATGATAACTGCAGGCTATGAGGAACCCTCTTAGCAACCCTAAGTAGAATGAGAATTGTCGTGCACTTCTCCACCTTCAACCCAACTCAAGGCCCTACCTAAACCCGCTCCTCCACAAACAAACAGTTGCAGATTAGCTTGTAGACATACAGCTACATGAAGCGCACTCAGACACAAAATGGTTCTATGGAACACACAATAACAAAATGTACCCCAAAGCCACGTATTCATGGTTCAAATGAAGAAAAAATAAAGACTTCAGAACAGCAGATCAAACTCTGAAAACCAGTCCATTCATCACCAAACTATAAACATGTCAAACCCAGTAAATGCAAATCCTGAAAGGCCACAAGCCACATTGTCCGATGGCCCCTCATATGTCTGTCCCCATTCAATTGGCACGACTCTTGAACACATCAAGACCCATCTCTGTAGGATCAGTCGCTTGCAACTCCACCTGAATTCCATCGAGCTCTCTCTTGAACCTGTCTTTTGAGCTAGCGTAAATCATCTTGCTTCTCACCCTTGCTGTGTCAGGAGACCTTGAAGGGCACCACCACAACATACGTGTAATCAGCGCATGATAAACTAAAAATTTGACCGGATAAAGGACACATGCGGGAATGTGTGAACTTAAGAAGAAGACAGACTCCAATATTTTACCAGGCAATGAAAAATATCCTGCTCTTCTGGCAGTTCTCCTCCGTGACAAAGTCGTAATCATAAACAGCATAGCGGCACTCATCAGCAGGGATGCTAGCAGCAAAATCCTCATAGGTTTGACTTGGATCACCAAGCTTCTCCACAATGACTTCCTTTTGCTTCTCCTCGATCTTGAAAATTATGGAGCGAAAGGTCCTTTTGGCCTTCAGCTCCAAGAATTTCAACTTGCAGTCGTCGTGGACTGCCATCCCGGATGCTGCATTTGCCTAAAAAGTAACATGAACACAGTCCTCAATAGTCAATACCATGTCAAACTGTAGTTTCACTGTGAGCTGTGATGCAGAATCGCACTTCACATTCAAGGAAAGTTGCTTTTGGAGCTACTAATCAGATTCATTCAAGAATTGACAAACCCAATCCCAAGAGGAAAACAAATCCAAGATAGAAAATCCCTAAAATGAAAATACAAAAGATCTCATAGTTCCCCTTGGAATCTCAAACTCGGATCATGACAAAATGAAGAAGAATTGGGACACTACCAAGTAAACCCATCGAAAAACTGTAATACAAGCAAATCAATCAAAGAAGATCTCAAGCGCTGGCCATGGAATAGTTGCAGAACCATGGAGATACATCATCATCGATCCAGCTCCCTCACAGTTCACAGATACAGAACACTAGTACCAATATTACATACAAATGATCATTTGGTCCCTCATAGCTAACGCAGCAGCAGATAGTTACATTCGAAAGAAGGAATATAGCTAAAATCCAAGCTCAATTTAAGATTCAGCACAAATTCGTAACATCTAGGCCAACAACGGGAGAAGAGCAAATCAATGAATCTCATAGTTGCCCTCAAATTTCAAACTTGGATCATGACTAATTGAAACACTACCAAGTAAACCCATAAAAAAGCTGCAATACAAGCAAATCAATGAACGAGGAGCTGCCATGGAGTAATTGCAGAAATAAAGCCAAACATCACCATCGATCCACCTTGACAACAGATACAGAACACAAAACAAACCGCCTAAATTGCACACAAATGAACACTTGACCCTCTTCAGCTAAACACAAGAGCAATCGTCAAAATCGGAAGAAGGAATACAGCTAAAATCCGAGCTCGATTAAAAATTCATCACAACTTCCGATAGATCTACGCAAGAAAATGCGACGAAGGAGAAGAGCAACTCAGATCTCTACAGTTACGCACTAGGTAAGATTAGATCACGGGAGAAATAGCCCGCAGCGGCATAAATGACGAACCCTGAGCGAAATTCAGGTTCAGGACGGCGAGATCGAGCACAGATCGAACGGGAGCACTCCCTCACATGGAGATTCATAATCCAGCAGAAATCGAAAACAAAAAAAATAATGGAAACCCTAGGCTATCAGAGCTGAAATCAGAGAAGGGAAACATGAAGACGAGAAAAAGAATCAACTCACCATCGCGTTAGATTCGACTCGGGGAAGGAAAGCTGTAACTTGAGATATCGAAAGATGAGAGAATATAGAGAGAGCAGAAGCAATGAACAGCGTCTCCTCCGATAATGTGGTCTGCGTACAGAAATGGCCGAATAAAAATCCTTTCTTAAAGCAAGTTAGGCGGCGCTTAGGGGGTGGTTTGGAAGTTTAGATTTTAAGTGAGATATTTAGTGCTTGTTTGGAAGTTGGGATTTCAGATGATGTATTTAGCCAATACATGTAATCAGAAGAATTTATCGTTTTTTTGTTTTAAAATGAAACAAATTGTTTGTATTTGAACAGCAGATGGGCCCACCAGAATCATTCATTATGAATGATTGTCAATCTCAACTTTTAGAAGAGATTATGTTTGAGGGATTGTTGTCTTACTTTTTGTTTCTTATTCTTTGAGGGGCCACCAAAATCATTCAATCTCCAAACAATATATTTTTCAAATTCATACATTGAAACAATGCATCTAATTATAATACATACATTGATTAAATACATCAATTTAGAGAATCCTAACGTCCAAACATGCCTAGTCAATATATGAAACGATAAGATTAAGTCGTTTTTTGAGTTCATTTGAGTTAGAATGCATTTTTTTTTTCTGGCCTACCCACAATCACTTAAAATGAATGATTGTCAATCTCTACATAAAGTAGATATTGTTAACAAGGAATTCTCTACCCTACTTTTTCCTCAATCATTATCTTTCCAAACAAGGTATTTTCCTAATACATGCATTGAATCAATACATCAAATAATAATACATGAATTGATTAAATGCATCTATTTGGAGAATCTCAACTTCCAAACATGCCCTAAGTCTTAGACGCGGGGAAATAATACCGTGTTGGGGATTACATCTGTACTGTGAGGTCGACCTGAAGCGTCCACATCGGAATGCTAGGTCGACATGGATCTCTTACAAAGTAGTGGGTTGCATCATTTACAATTTAAATTTTAGCTTTTCAGTCACCTAATATTTGTTGTAATCAAATCATTAAATGTAATCTAGGTCGTATCATTATCTATTTTATACTAAAATATATTAGTGAGTATGAAAGTGTAATTTTCTCTACCTTAACAATTGTGTCTTCCTTTGATCTCTTATGGATCACTATGGGTTATGGCTTTTCACTATCTTCTGGAATTGGTTCGACATACAAAGCCTAGATTTGTCACAAAAAAAATTTGGCCGGACCCCTTCCCGCCAACATCTCCTATCTCTCTCGTTTCGTCCGCTATATCGACATTGGCACCAACTATTTTCTCGATGACATCCCATCCTCCATTGAATACCTAACCATTCTTCGTAACCTCCACCTCTATCAAAACCAATTCCACACTAATTCCTCTATTGGAGATTTAAATAGGGAAGATCAATAAATTAGGGATGACGTATAAAGAGTTTGCCCCTTTTTATTTCTCCCGAGTTTGGCAAACTAAACAAGCCGAGTATTTTATGAATCCAAAAGGTAATATAATCTAAAACACACCTGAATGGTTCACCTATCTCCAAAATTTTAAGCACAAAGTGTGGTCAAGAACAATTTGAAAGGTGCAATTCTATATTGCATAGCCTTGCTCCGGAATATGAAACATCCCTATAATAAGTTGTTTAGAGGAATCACTAGGAATGCGAATGCATTGAGTGTGATGGAGATTGATGTCTCGATAAAATATCTCACAAATTTCCATTGAGTTTGGGAAGTTTGAGGATATGAAGATTGTGAATATATCAACAATAAGTTACACATCGAGCTCCAAAAATCATCATCTCCTTTCTTCACTAATGGAGATCAATATTAACACCAATAACTTCATCAAGCCTTGTTAGTTCTGAACATGAATTTATAACTCGATATCTTTGACATCATAGCCAACAGATTCTTTGGTCAGTAGCCAAAGAATCTCTATACAAGAGGTGCCAATGGAAAAGATAAAGGTACCACCACAATCAAACTTAGGTAAGGGCAATGATGAGGGATAGAGGATAACTCGAGTTCCCCCTACATAAACACCAATTTGTAAATGTGGAGAATGAAGGAAGATGAATCAGTATTCACACAGAAACTCTTATGTGGGGATATTAATGATTTTTAGTTTTCTTATTAGGGAGATGAACGGAGCTATCACAAATTGATAAGAGAAATCGTAGATGATGTTGAAAGTAAAGTTAAGCGACACAGATATGCTTCTTAAAAAATTTAACATCGTCCAATGTATTTCACCCTATTTCAACAAGTTCATTTGGCATGCTTTCACCGAATTTAAGAAACACAAATGGAAATGGGCAGAGAGAATGTCTCCTTACCCATATCCATTTTGTATAAGACACAGGTTAAGTTAGAGAGTTTAGATTAAGGAATCGATTAGATTGTATTAACTCAGCGTGGCGTGTTATTGAAGAAAACAAAACTCAGAGGGTTGAAATTTTCAAAATGATAGTGATTATATCATTAATGTTAAAAAGATTTTCTTACACTTTCCTGATTTTGTCTGGTGCATACCAAACCATTTCATGCCCCCTACTTTCTTCATGGTGATCTCTATGAGGAAGTTTATATGGAAATTCATCAAGGTTTTTCCCGTCCTTATGAAGATGAATTCGTATTCATTAGAAGGTGAACAAATATTCTTATAAAGATGAAGCGTATTCATCCTCAATATTCTTTTGAAGATGCATATTGAAGATGATGAATATGTACCAACTAATATTCGATGACGTAAAAGTAATATTCATGAAATTTAACAAGTAATATGGTCATTAGGGCTAACTAGTATTCATGCAAGCGATATTCATGTTTCTGTTCCTCCACCAGGGATATTCAGGATAAAACGACCAAGTATTCATGCAAGCGCAGAACACCATGCAAGAAACCCTAAAACATAATAAATGCAAGCACCATAAATGTAAACCCTAACACATTCAATGCTGATCAACAACCAAAACATATATAAGTCTAAATGGATCTGATATGTTTTTTTGGTCTTCACATACCCCCTTCTATTTCATCAACTGCGGCCATCCACTCTTCCGAGCCCCACAAATCATCAGATGAACCATCCGCTTTGAGGATGGTATCAGCAAGGTCCTCATCTTCTGGTCTGTCTCCTTCGACATAACCTTTATTGTTTTCAGTCGACAGATCTTCAAGGTGGACCTCCTCTTTTGGTGCGACATCTCCTTCCACATCATCCCCCATCTTCGACACACTATCTTCCCTTCTTTGCATCTCCTTCTTCTCTTCGAAAGACCGATCTTGCATCAGACCGCCCCTTCTTGCGTTTTTCTCTGGATGCTCGTCTTCAATGGCAGCAAGGCGGACGAAGAGAAGAGATGAGGAGGAAGAAGAAGAGAGTTGTGAGATTGAGAGAGATAGGTTGGTTGGTAGGTGGGTGGAATTAATGAAAGGGTTTTTTGACCCAGACCCAAAAATTGGCCCAGACCCCACCCATCTCTCACTCCTCGGCCCCACCACTACCTTCAGCCCGGCTTCCCCACAGCTCAAGAACGGCTCGTCCCCTTCCCCGACCCGTGTCCCAGCCGCTCAATCCTAACCCTCCGTTGCTGGCTTGGGCGACGTGGCCCTCCCCCTGGCTTGTGAGTTGGTGCACACAGATTTCTGTGTGTGTACCATAGCGAAATTGGACGTGGAGCTATTTTCTTTTTTTTTTTTCACTGGTTGGGATGATTTGTTATTTATTTGATGATTTCCAATTTTCCATTTATTCCGAATATCAAAATGGTCATAGGGTCAGTAACCAATGGTTAGTGAACTATGAGTAACTAAATCTGGACCTTTAAATCTAAGTGGTCCCAGAAAATCCAAATCTAAGAGTTGTCAATTAAAGGTTTTTTATTTTCCTATCTTCATTTTAACTCGAATTTCAATTTTTTTTGCACACATGGAACGAGTTCGTTGTGCTCTACAAAATGAGATCAATTTTCAATATATTTCGAGAAACTTTTTTTACCAACTACATACCATATGGTAACTTTTTTGTTTTTAAGTCATTTTTGAAAACGTTTGCTCAGAAAGAACGAGTTCATCATGATCTATTGGATCTACAAATTTCTGGGTGAAAAAAATACTGGACCAAAAATTACCATACTTTACCACTATGGTATATGGGTGGTAACTTGTGGTAAACAATGATGAAAGTCGTAAATGACATTTAATATACTTCTACTATCATGTATTCAACCTTCTTACCATATTGGTATGTTCATACCATAATGGTACGCTTTCTTACTATATGGTATTAAATACGAGTATACCATATGATAATGACTGGTAAAAAATTATTCAATTTTTTTTGTACTAAAAATATATCAAATTGGATATCATATTAAAGAGCACATTTAATCTGATTTATCTCTGCAAAAAAATTTAAATTTCGACTTAAAACGGGAGAGAAATTGTCCGTTAAAGATTAAAGAGGAAAAGATAAAACGTTTTCCAGGAGAGAGAGGGATAGTGATGTCATGCTCATATGGACGGGTTACTCAAGGTTACTAACCTGATCTGTTCCCGTGAGAAAGGGACATAAGAGGAATTAAGAGACCGAAACGGCACTCTCTTGGCCTTCCTGCCAGGATTAAAACGCCTATTTTGGTTTTACATCCATCAACAATCTTTTTCTGTCAATCACGTATTCACATTCATGGAACATTTATGTTATAGTCATCATCCAATATCTCTGTTACAAAACCTTCTTTCACTGTGATAAAAGTGGGTAAGAAATTGGATAGTAGTGACAAGAAGTTTTAGATTGTTTTTTTGTACTTGAATATCGTTGTCACTGTAAAAAAAAAACATCGATCAAACTAGTTGTCTTTATTTACATACTATATTAACCATGCAGGTTCTTATGCCGATTGAGGTTCATATGTGGTATTTGATTGTGCACACTATGTTTAACAAGTTGATGATCATGATGACCGAGATTGCTGAACAAAGGGTGCCTAGATATACTACTAGCGACTCATTTTCTACTATCTGAATATCCGATACACAATTTTTTTATAAAATGGATCGCCCTAAAGTAGCTAACCAAGCTTAGGCCGACGTTAGACCAAAGAATCAATTTCTACAACTTCAGATTTTCACACAAAAAAAGTACAATTAGCTATGATCAATTGAATGCTGTTACGTCAAACACTCATTAGAATGGCTAAAATGAGAAAGCTCAGGAGTCGGGAATCAACCCCGAAACAAAAAGCTGACCTAGAATCACTACTAGAACTAGAAGCAAGACTTATATATTTGTGAGCTAGGACCTGAATGATCAAAATGAGAAAGTTAAGGATCGAAAGCAGCACAAAAAACTTACCTAGCATCACAGGAAGCAAAGACTTTATAGCAATAGTTACGGTGGTTGACAAATTGCTGGTTATCAACAAACAAATTGAGTTTATAGGGATTCACTTCCTACATCATTTAGCTTTAGTACATATGAAAACTTACCGAAAGGGTAAGTTTAAAAACACTTTACAATATCCTCTCTCACCATTTGTGCTCCAAATATTCTCAAAGCCTGTGAAGAAAACCCTTAACATCCAAATAGAAGAGGCTCTCTTCTCCCTCTCCCTCTCTTCTTTTTCCATTTGGCTTCCAAACAGAATCATTAAATGGAATGAATTTCTGACTTACCAAATGTGAGCAAGTATTTTTTCGAATGCACAAATGCATACTCGGAATCACAGAATTCGGTCTTGAAGATCGGTCATCAATGAAGATGCCAAGGAACTGAGCTTCTTGCTGGTCTCTCCTGCAATGTTCTTGAGGTTGGAGATATCTTGTTGTGCCTAAAACAATGGTTCGTTCAGACAAGATTCGTAAGTTTTCACCAATTTGAAGAACTGAAGCCTAGCAACAAGAACAAATCATTTTAGACAGCAATTACCTGGAAAGACAGCCGGTTGATAAGCTCGCCAGCAGCAAGATCGATGGTTGAGTTGTCATCATCATGGCCGAAAAGTTCTGCACTTGAGATAGCAGCTGAACCCTGGAGATGAAGTTTAAAACTCATTTTAGTATACTTCAGCGAGGATATTTAAGCTCAAATAAGCGCATTCTAGTACAAGGTTGATCAGAAGTGCCAGCATGAAACTCAGGTATATCTATGGTCCAACAGAGGTACTTGGGCAAACAGGTCTCGAGTTCTGAATCTATTCGTGAAACAAAATTATATGACTAATCCATGTTTGCACTTGTTTGTTTTACTTTGACTTCAATATTAACAAAAAGTCTTCCTTCCTCATAAAAATGAAATAGAATCTCTTCCCAAGGGATGCTGATCGAAGAGAATTTACACATAATGTGAGTTTATATATACTTCTCAATTAGATTCAAGATATATACATATTGCAATTAGTGATTTTGTATGAGCTAAATCAACCAGACATACCGAGAATTTTTGCAAAGAAGTTTGAGCATCAAGATCGGTTGACTTGCTCCGATTGCCGAAATATTGGGCCGATGAAATTGATTTGGCATTTGAGAATTTCTTCCTTGCTTCATCAGTCTCTTGGACCTGATAACAGCAAAATATGATTTTATGCAGAGCAGAAGGTCAGGCAGATAGTTCATTCATAAAATCATGTAATGGCTGAGCTGAAACATCTGACAAGATAATTGGAAGTATATTTCTTAAAACATATGACACCTGAAGAACCAAGTCTAAATGTTGATGAAATCAGAAATAACATATCCAGCTTAGATTAAACATCGATCTCCCATAGACAAGGATTACCAGCAAATCATGCTTAGAAAAACAGATGATCAGAAATTTAAGTAAGATCATTGGAAAAGGCATGTGTGTTTGTTTGGGCTATAACTCTGAGTGGGGATGTCTTTAAGTGGGAGAAAAACGAGGTGACATTCATACTTTTTTTGATTCCCTAGTCAATGTTTGATGACGTAGCATACTGGGAAGTGGGAAGATTCTGCATCACTGGGGTTTTATGAGCACGCAACAATGACAATAAACAGAATTTGAGATTCCTAGGCAGGTAATCTAGGAGTTCCTAAACACTGACAACAAACAGAAATTTGAGATTCCATGCTATAGATTACCACTGGTAGTAACTATATGGTCATTCTAATACTCCAACGGAGACTACGTCTAACAAGACAACTGAGGCCTAAACAACGTTCCCCAACCATACACACAAATATGGTAACAGCTAGACAAAAAGTCTCAAAGGCCGAACCGTCTAGATTGAATATGATACCCTTCACGATCTAATAGAGCTAAAGTAATATTCGGAATCTAAACTTTTAGGTTGCGTCAAGCAGGTAACAGCTGTGTAAACAAGTGAGCAATCCACATGATGTATTGAGAGATGACATAAACCTAGTTCCATAACTTCATCATTGTATAATAGTGTACAATCACTACTTACTTGCACTCTTGAAGAATTCGAGGTTCCCTTTTTCGAGAAACCATTATCCATTCCAAAGTCATCAAAGAAATTTGATGACTTTGGTGCGGATACATGGCTAATCCCCTTTGATCCTGAAAGCATATCCACAGGCTGCACATCGCCCGCATACTCGAAACGTGAAGTAAAAGCAGTACCCCCAGATTTCAGGGTGCTATTCGAAGAAGATGGAGCGGGAACTGGTGCTTCTTCAGGCTTCTGATCATACAGACTTTCATTTGACTGCATTCAGAAAACGATTAACTACTATTGGAAAAGATCTAGCTAATAAGTAATAAGCGAACCAAAATGAATTCGATTAATTCTCACAGCATTAGGCAAATTTATGAACTAAACCATAAAGGTAAAAGGAGGGGCAAAAAGAAAGAGAAGATATTCACCTTTGCTGTGAGTTTTTTAGCACCGAGACCCCCAGACTTCCCAGTTTTCCTCGCCCCAAGAGGCCTCTTGACAGTAGAAGTGGTAACTACAGCAGGGACCTTTGAAGGAGGGGCTGAAGAAGGAGCTACCACAGGTATTTCCTGCTTTTCCATTGAAGTTCCGTTGGAAGATTCAATTTTAGGAACCGACAATCCATTAATCCCTTGAGCTGACTGAGAAGCAACAGGTGAGGATGGCAGGCCTGCATCTTCTGCCATACTTTTTGCAACCTCCTTTGACAAAATTTGCCTATATAACTCTGCAGCTCTAGATGTATACTTGGCCTCGCCACCATCAGACCAGCCATGTTGCTTAAAGAACACCTGTGCCCGATTGTTACCACCAAAAGCCATCACTCTCAATTGCTCTGGAGACCACGAGTCTAATGTTGTAGACCTACCAAATAAAATAAATAGTGTGTTACACCTGCAACTTCTATGGATGTAAAGGACACCAGATACTTTATCAAAACTAGCCAAATAACTTCTCCTTCATTAGAGCAAGAGCTACCTTTGAAGATCAATGAGCTACAAAAAGGAATCAAAAGAACCACCAGAATGTCCTTTAATGAAATGCCCCAGTCTTGGTATGTCAAATATTCTATGGGCCAGGACTCACTGACAACATATGATAAACAAGTTTATGAGAAAACAGATATCAGAGATGGCTGGACCATGCCTAGAATCTACATTTGGTGAGTCTGTATCGGTATAAAGGGAACATCGTCCACACGTTTCATTTTACTTCCCAAAACTGACCTACATTAACAAATTCTTCTCCACATAACACCCCAACCAACTAATCCATAACTGACATAAACCATAAGGGCAAATTAACAGGACATCCAATGCATGATATTACCTGACAAAAGTCAGATGCACACCAAGGCTACGATGAACTGCAGAACAATCAATGCACAGGAAGATTCCATACGTTACAGATGCCCATGTAGGATTCTTCGCATTACAATCAAAGCACATCTGCACGAAGGAATCATATTAAGAAAAAAAGAATGGCAAAACAGGAGATCCGATATTGAAAAGCTGGTGATGGCAGCACCATTACCGATCCACGATCAAACAACAAAGAACCATCAAGCAATTGCATAGGGAAACGTACTTTGTTCTCAGGTTTCGCTTTGAGTTTCTTGAACACAGCGTTCTTGTCAGTGTAGCTATCGCTGGATGCCATGATCACTCCTTCCTTTCACAAAACAAGACCAGAAGCCAATAATGTCAATGCAAATAAAAAAAACTTCTTATGCAAGCAACCATAGATCTACTTCTAGTTCTACACAGAGGTTCCAAAAAAATAAGCATTTCCTCAATCGAATCTGTCAACATCCTCAAATCTGTTATACTGCCACTGGCCATTCACAACAAAATCAAAAGCCATTAAAATTGAAGATTATACACATTCACAACCAATAAATTCCCCTCTTCCATTCACATTCCATCCAATACGTTGAAATTCAGCTCAGAATACCTAGAATCTCAGATGCGTCGGCGGAATAGGCGGGAAATGAAGCGGTTACAGATCCAGATCAGCTACGGCGCTCGGGCGGCGACGAGGATGTCTTCTCCGATCTCCCACTGGCGTTCCCCTTTCTCCTGCGAAATTCACTTTCCTCGTTCGATCTGAAAGATTACAGACAGTGCAGGAGAAAAGGCCGACAGGCGAAAATGTGAAACAGGTACCGTCGGCGGATCTAAAATCGGTAATGCCGGACGGGACGACGGTAGATCTCGAGTGTGGGGGGAATTCGGTTGCAACGAAAAATGTCGGTATCAAAAGCCTCCGAAGTCCCTCTTCTGGATTCTCTGATAGCGTAAAGCCGGCAACGGAGGCGCGCAGCAGCTTTCGCGGGAGAAAGAGCGGAGACGGCAAATGCAACTGGGAGAAAGCCGGAGCCCCGATTTCTCTCTGCCTCCCACCTTTCGATTTTGAAGCTGGACCAGGAATCGGAGGGGAGCTTCTCTCTGTTCTTTTCCCTTTTATAACTTTTTTTTATTATTATTTTTCCTGGAGTTCCTTGAACCGTTTTCGTGATATATATTTTCGTTTCCCCCTTTTCTGCTGCTTAAAGTAACGTTTTTGTTCTCGTTTCAGTTTCATGCAACCGAAACGAAAAGGACCCGCCGGGTTGGACGACCGGGTCAATCTAACACTCAGGTTGTCAACCGGCGGGTCGACCCCATTTTGACCCTGATTCGATGAGAAAAACGGGTCGCACATACCCACTGGGTCGACCGTTACAAGGTATCATGTTGGAGGTCAAATTGTGTAATTTTTTTCTTTGGTTTGCGAAATGCGTCTATTTTCCGATTTTTCTTTTCGCCTAACTCAATCTTTGGAATCTTTAGTCGAACATTTGAATATTGATGTTATATAAGTGTGTGTGAATTTTCGCTATATGTTGGATCTAAGTACGATATGTTACTCTAGTGTAATGTTATATGTTATTACTCATATGTTAGATGAGATTTTATATAATTTATCAGGATAAGTATACTATAATGACTCTTTTCATATTTCCAGGCTGAAACGGGCTAAAACGGGTGACCCATTAACCCCTGGCTCACTAGCTCGACCGGGTCCGGGTCAACCTGCGGGTTGACAACCTTGCTCAGCACAGTCGTTCGTTGCACAAGACAAGAGGACAAGGTAATATATACTATACTGGTTAACTGACATGGTTGGTTAACAAAGTCTCTAACCACACCGAACTACATACACCAAGTTGAGAATTTTAACCAAAATTTACCGGTTAAAATAAGTGAACATTATTCAACCCGAAATGCCCACAAAACCACTTGACCAAAGTCTCTAAGCAACAGGGAAAAAGAGGAAGATGGGAACTCCAAATAGCAGCAACTGGAAGAAAGCTAAGAAACCCAGATAGGAAGCTTGTGGTTCTTGATTGCACAATCAAAGAGTTCTACTTCACTCTCAAGTCTCCAAACGAGGGACCAACTTGTTGAACGCTTCATTTTTTTTGTAGTGTATATAATTTTCATCTAGTTGGTGAACGTAGGGCTTTGATCATTTTGCTTCCAATATAACCTTTTTTTACGTCTTTCATTGCTCTCCTTCAGTGATTTGGGACTACTGATGGTTGCATTGTACATATGGAGTGCTTATTGGATTGCGATCAGAGGATAGTAGTTGATCCAATTGGCACAAGAATCATAAGACGTGCGCGAATGGGAAACAAAATAAGAAGAAATCTTATTTCCTTACAGAATAAGTTAAAAGGTGGGAGCTATACAACGGTTTACATGATTGAAGTTTAACAATGTCCACTTCCACCTCCCTTTCCTCTCCCGCCTTCCCTCCGAACACCCTTCTCCCCCATCAGACTTTACAAAAGCACTCAAATTTACACATTCCAACATCACGAACAGTCGGCCCATCCATCTCAGCTTTTATCTAACAGCATCAGCTGTACATTTTTTGCCCCCTTCCGCCTTTTCCTTCTAGTGCTGGTCTGTACGTACAGAAACCATGCCCTTTACCTTGAAAGCACCTTTCGTGTTCTTCCACAGGCAGACGACACTCACCATCATGTCGTCGTCATCTGCTATTCGATCGCAGCATTAGCGGCTTTCTTCTTCTGTTCGTTGCCGCCCATCAGCGTGGGGGTGATGGAAACGACCCCAATGAGGAACATAGCTGCAATGGAGTTGAAGTCGTATAGATCCGTCACTGACTGCAGCTCTGCCAGAGCTATTCCTGCCTGTGCACGATACAACCACAGAAACAATGTCACCTCACTACATGCCCTGAAAGTTGCACATTGTGCCAATTACTACATAAACGGTCGACAACCAACTGGTAACTGAATTCTGAATTTCATCTAACTTATCATCAAATAGAATAACTAATATAACAAACACTCGAATTGTACACACTAGACCATCAGTTTCCAAGCTTATAACTTATTTGTTAGTGACCCCAAAGTTTAGTGGCGCGTAGGTAAAGCGAAATTAGGAAGAGAGTTACCTTGACAGTGATATAAGCGGCGGGGATGAGCCCAATGACGGTCGCCAGGAAGAAGATGTGGTAAGGCACATCTACAATAGGCGATGCCACATTGATGAATGTGTTTGGCAATGTAGGAGTCAGTCTCAAGAACAGCATGTAGTTCAACAATCTCTCCCTTCGACGTGCCACCTGCCAAGAAAATCAACAAAAGAAGAAGAAAAAAACAGTCATGCCACAACTTATAAAAGATTTTGATAGTCAACTGCAGCTACGGTTAATAGAGATTTGATTTTCCTCACCTGCTCTTGGAAGAACACGAGCTTGTCAGGCCAGAGAGTGAAGACCAGAGGGCGGCCAACGATCTTTGACAGGAAGAAGCAAGAGGAAGCTCCAGCAGTGGCAGTGAACACCACCAGAGCTACACCTTTGAAAACCCCAAAGAGGGCTCCGGCCAGCAACGACATGAACACAGTCCCCGGGATCATAAACGTCTGCATGAAGACATAGACCACACAGTAGCCGACTAGAACTTGTGCCGTGTAATCACTGGTGTAAGTCTCGAGGTGATCCCTGCCACCAAACCAAAGGCAGACATTTTAACATGTCAAACAAGCAGAAAGAGTCAATGACCAAAACACGGATGGCACAATCTGAGCTGTAAAAGGAAACACGCAATCTCTTCAAGCAGAGCTCGGAAGCTATAGCTTCAACACCATGCTTCAAATCAGAAAGTAACATAAGCAATCTATCAATAGAATCCTAGTAAAATCAAGAATTTAGAGAGACCAACTGACATAAACACAACATGCAAGCAATGTTGCAACGTTCAAAGTGGCTATATTCACTATGAACAGCTAAGCTCAGAATTCAGAACAATGATCTTCCCTGCTGCCCCTGATCAATCATTTGAACTACCGCATTCTCGATCTAACAATCTCAATCGACTAATGAAAGCAAGAAAAACAGCCCTAATCACTCTTGATAAGACAACCCCAGATCTCTCAGTTAGCTTAATCTCACGAAAAGACAACAACTTCCAGCAGAACCCAGATAGGAGAAAAGTCGCAAACCTGAGGATTTGGAGCTCCCCGAGGTTACGAGGCAGCTTGAGGAAGCTGTAATCGGACGGCGGGAGGGTGAGGTAAACGAGGAGGAGACCCACCGCGAATCCGAGAATGACGAAGGCGCCAACGGCGGCTTCCCAGAAGCTGAGAGGAAACCCAGATCGAACAACATTATTCACAGTCCCATTCCCACTATTCGATTGATTTCTCCCGCCCTCCATTGATTAATTTCCCTTCGTCTCCTTCTTTCCACCCCACCTTTCTTTGCGTTGACAAATCTGCGCTCGGAGGAATAATGGAGGAAAGAAGGAGGGAGGGCTGGCTCGCCCTCTTAAGGGTTTGATTTTGCTGCTCAAGCACTTCTTCTTGTTGTTATTGCTGTAACGGGGATTGGAATTGAAAGGGATAGGAGGGAAGGGGATGAAGAGAGGATATTCTGGGGAAGGGGAGGAAGAAATACTGCAACGACCGAGTATATCTGTTGGAATTGTTCTGTTTCCTGAGGGTAATGTGTCCTTCATGCAAAATTTACATTTTTTTTTTTTACGATATGCTATTATTGTAAAATTTGTACCTATAGGCTATAACTTAATTTGGGATAAAATTAATGTACCTTGTATTGTTGTTTTGCCGCCAGAAAATTTGAGTTGAAAATAATGAAATTGCATCTTTGTTTTTTTAACACAAATGATTATTAAACACGATTCAAACTTCTTTGAACAAAATTCAAATAAGGGTCTTTGATATTTTTGATGATCTACGAGATAAATCTATATTAAATTAACTCTACCTCTATGAAGGTTCAGTGGGAGCTCCAAGACTATAACTATAGCTATGACTACATTTGCAGAGAAAAAGAGGAAAAACATAAAGCTTGACAATATGTTTTTTTTAAAATATTTGCATAGAAGGAACGAGTTCATCATGATCTATTTGATCTACAAATTTTTTGGGGCGGGGGGATACAGGACCAAAAAATATATCACCTCATACTACCCTGGTATATGTGTGGTACACAATGTTGAAAAACGTAAATGACAGTTAGTATATTCTTACTATTATGTTATTTATACCATATGATATGTTCTTATTTAATACCAATCAATACCATATTATATAAACTGATAATAAATGTCTCAATTTCTTCGTTCCAAAAATATATATAATTGAATATCATTTTGAAGAGCACAATTAATATGATTTATCTATGAAAAAAAAAATTCCAACTTAAATGAGAGAGAAATCATTTGTTAAAAATTAAAGGAAAAATATAAGTCTTTCCATAAATGGCCGAGAGCCTTTCCATATATGGTGACCATAATACATCAATTTTTGAACTTTAATTGGTAGAATTAGTCTAATATGATAATATAACATATAATCACAACTAATCAATCCATTATCCTAAATCCTTCAAATTAAAGTAAATCTTGAATGAGTTTTTTGCAAAGTCATGTGTTTCTTGTTCATAACATCATAAGTGATGATTGATACCGTTTTGACATAAATCACATGCTCAGAATGATGATTATATGAGGCGAGTGCATTGAATGCACACAAAAAAGTGGTCATAATGCATCGAATGTTGAACTGTAATTGGTAGCATTAGTATAATATAATGATATAACATAGAATTACAACTAATTATTCAAATACCCTAACTCATTAACCCTCAATTTTGAATCCCAACCAAAAATCCCAAATAAACCTAAGAACTCAAACTCATGGGTATCCAACCTAATTCGACCAACTCGAATCCATCATTAGTATTTTTTAAAATTCTATGCTTTTCCTTTTCGTTGAGAATGACAACTGCACCCAAAACCATGGTATTGACGAGTTTTGTATCGAGAGTGAGTTTATCCGCTTTTGTAGTTGGCAAGTTGGGCCGAGTGTGAATTTGTTAAGAACTCGATCCGACCGGGTCAAAGCGAGCTGAACGAGTTTTGGATCGAGAGTAAGTTTTGTCCGCTTTAATGGTTTTTATTTCTCCTTTTCCTTTTGACCGAGAATGACAATTGAACCCGGACCCAGTTTTTGTATTGAGAGTGCGCTTTATCTGCTTTTAGAATTGGCATGTTGAGCCGAGTGTGAATTGTTAAAAACTCGGTTCGAACCAGTCAAGGTGAGTTGAGCTCGGTGTGTAAAGTCTTTGGTATATATGGAGCGAGTTTTATCTGCTTTAGTTTTTTTTTATTTATCTTTTTTCCTTTTGGTTGAGCACCCAAACCTATGGGTACCCAACCTATTCAATATGATCAAAACAACTTGAACCCGGTGTTTACAACTTAAACATAGAAATCATTTGCTCGATGATTCTTCTCCCTTATTAAAGTTTATCGTTGCGTCAACTACATAGAGTTGTAGATAACAATCTCTTTACTTTTGGATCAAAATTCAAACTTTTAGAGTCACTTTCCCCAAAACCTGCTGGCTAGAGCGATTGCGCCTTGGTTCACTCACTCTGCATCGGAAAGCAAAGTCGGAAACTGTCCACTAAGACTGTCTCCAACCCAAGCATGCAAATTTGGAGAAAGGGAAGTTTTTGTCTTTTTTCATCTCCAACCCACCAATTATTTGGCTTGCAAATTTAGAGAAATGGGCTTGGGGGTGGATAGGTAGCAGCTCAAATGGAGGAATGGGCAAATATAGCAGCTGAAAGTGGGGGACCCCACGTGCAGGCGAAGGCCACCCGCGGAGGCGGGCTACGTGCGGGGTCCCCCACTTTTTTGCTGCTGTATTTTTTTTTTCTTTTCAATTTTTTTGAGTGGTTATTTCTGTAGGTTTGTTTGCTTTTTAGTTTGAAAGAAGAGTAATATAGTGACAATAAAACAGTCACATTGCAACATACACATTTAACGGCCATAAAATGGTCATATTTTTTTCTATATAATGAGTCACTTTCATGATTTTTCTTCACTCATTCTCAAATCGATTTCTCTCATTCTCATCTATTTATCATCTCTCAAAACAAAAACATGTCAAGTAAGAGAGGACCCAACTGGAGAGCTCATGAAGATGTAAACTTGTGCATATCTTGGATATCAATATCTGAAGATGGAGCGGTTGGCATCAATCAAAAGAACACGAATTATGGGAAAGGGTGGAGAGGGAATTTCGAAGAAGCGATCCTACAACAATTCGTGCTACGGATTCAATGGAATCCCGACTGAGACTTATCAGTAACAAGTGTAAAGTTTGGAAGGGAGCTTTGCAGAGGGCGGAGAGGAGTCAATCGAGCGGTACCAACCAAGTTGATGTGGTATTTTTTTGGAAACTTTTAACTTTTCTATTTCTTATTTTTATGTATATTTACTTATCTAACGTGTGTATTAATAATTTTAACAGGAATTTGTAGCAAGATCGATATATAATGAAGAGAATGGGAACACAGCCTTTGCTTATGAGCATTGTTGGGTCATCCTTCGAAATTTCCCAAAGTGGTATTGTGACCCTCAATTGGTTGCCGGTCCTATTCCACCTATGGGTCAAGGTTCTCAAAGTTCTCCCATAGGTATTGGTTCTCAATCCTCCCCTATGGAAGGCCTCGCCGACATACCAGACGAGGGAGCTATGCCTTGCGTACTGTCTCGCCCTGAAGGACGCGACAAACAAAAGGTAGCAAAAAAGAAAGGTAAGGTAGTTGCTGAATCGTCAAACATGTACACTACTCAACTGCTAGAGTTTGGTAATGATATGAGAGAGAGGCAAAAGTCGAGGATGGAGTACGAAAATAGAAAATTAATCTTCAAGAGAGGAGACTAGAGAGGGAAGTCGAGGAATGGGCATACAAGAGGCAAGTTAGGGAGCAGGAAGCGGAACAATGGGCTGTTAAGAAGAAAGAGAGGGAGGCCGCAATACTTCAACAAAATATGAATATTCTGGAGAAGGATTTATCAAAGATGACACCAAGAAAGAAGAAATTTGGAGGAGTAAACAAAATGACATCTATGGGTACGATCAAGATGATCCCAACTCTAATCCAGGAGATGGCGGAGATGGAGATGCAAGTGGCAGAGGAGATGGAGATGAAAGTGGAGGTGATTACTTTCCTGTTATGGATTATGATTAGAAGAAGGTTCTATGTGTACTATATTGTATTTATTGCTTTAATGTGGTGTGTTGTGTGTTGTATTTGAACTTTGTTGTTTTCATGTGCTATGTGTACTCTTTGAACTTTGAGCATTTTCAAGTGTAATAAAAAAACTAGTTGTTATTGAATCTTCGGACTAACTACAAGACACACTTTATTGAAACTTGAAATACAAACTACCAAACGACATGAAGTAAAATTAATATTGAAACAAGCAATACAATCCATAATTAAACAATACTAGTTATTGCCCTGTAAATTCCAAAGATGTTCAACCAAGTCATTTCGAAGCGCATGATGTGTTGTTGAGGAGCGAATCCTATTATTTCTAGCCAAATAATCAACCAGAGTTGGAACGTGTCGGTTGATTGGTTGAGCTTGTTCATGGACCTCATAATCAAGGTCATCATCCATCTCATCATCAGAATCAACTTGCTCATCCTCGATTATGTTGTGTAATATAATGCACGTCAACATTATATTGTTAAGTGTGACAACATCCCAAACTCTTGTAGGGCCACGAACCAGGGGCGGAGCTATGTAGGCTCTCGGAGCCCCCCCCCCCCCCCCCCCCCCCCCCCCGAGAATTTTGAAACTTACGTATAAAGTCGTAGGAAAATTCAAAAATTACGTATAAACTAATGTAAATATAGATACAATCCGATTGAAAAATTGTTACCAAGGCAGGCAGATTTACAGCCTAGCAGAGGTGATACCTACTTGCAACTACATTGTCACTGGTTCAATCCTGGTAGTCTGCAGTTTTACCTTACTATTTTATTAGTGTTTTTTTCAGTTCAATCCTTTAATTTTCCTGCTTGTCTTATATATCATATAATTTTAAATAACCTCATTCGAGTTCTTGAACTTCAAAGATCTTTTTATATTTAATTAATTAATTTTTATAAACATTAATATAATAATAAAATCATATTCAATGCATAATAAAATTGAAAAAATTACATGATACATTTTTTCCTTAGTATAATCATTTACTTTGAGCATAGCATACTAGAAAACTTTAAATTAATTCTATTTTGAGTGCTTTCAATTATTTAAATTAATGTTATATTGTTATATACTTATATATATTACTTTTTTTCTTTCATTTTGGCGATAAATTACAAAGTTATTCCGGCCCCCCCGAACTTTAAATCCTAGCTCCGCCCCTGCCACGAACAATTGCCCATCTTGCTTGGAGGATTCCAAATGCCCGCTCTACGTCTTTGCGGTGTGCTTCTTGACGTTGAGCAAACAAAGCCTCTTTGTTTGACCTTGGATTGCTGAAGGTCTTCACTAAAGTCGACCATGAGGGATAAATACCGTCAGCCAAATAATAGCATTGATCGTAAGCATGACCATTTACCTCAAATCGTACATGTGGAGCGCTTCCATTGACAAAACGATCAAACACTGGCGACATCCCCGGAACATTTATATCGTTGTTTGATCCAGGAGACCCAAAGAAAGCATGCCATATCCATGTGTTGTAGGAGGCCACCGCCTCTAGAATGATTGTTGGCCTATGCATGTGGCCGATGCATTGTCCTGCCCAGCCACTTGGACAATTCCTCCATTCCCAATGCATGCAGTCAATTGATCCAATCATTCCAGGAAAGCCACGTCTTGAGGCTTTATTGAGTAAGATCCTTAAATCGGCAGGAGTAGGTGCGCGAAGATATGTGGCCCCGTACATGTTGATAATGTTGTTGCAGAACTTTCTGAAGACCTCCATCAAAGTGCTCACACCCATACGAACATACTCGTCAAGTTGATCAGCTGGAGAACCATACGCTAGCATGCGCATCGCACCAGTAAGCATCTGCTCTGGAGATAATGATAATTGACCCAAGCTATCACACCTTAGAGCAAATAGGGGGTCAAACCTCACAATGTCGCCCATAATGCGATGGAATAATCTTGGTTGCATCCGATAGCGCCTTCTAAATATGCAAGCATTGTATACTGGATTTGGATCGAATTAATCCCTCATAAGACGACGATTACATTCGACCCTTTCACGATAAATGTGACGTCTGTAGTTTGACGTCGACTTGATGAACCTTCAGCCAGCCTCCGGCCGATTAAACTCAACTGTAGGTGGTGAAACCTCTCGTACTCTTCGATTTCTCCTTCTCCTCCCGACGATGAGCTATCTAACATACTCATGATGAACGTGTTTGTTTTAGAAATGGGATGAGTTGATGAAAAATGAAGAATTGTAATTTATAAACACATATGATGCACAAAATGACAAAAAAACGGTCATAAAGTAACGGCTAAAAAAACGATCATATTTGGATTGGTAAAAAAAAAATGGTCATAAAGTAACGACTACAAAAAATGACTAATTTTGCAAAAAATAAATCTCGGAATTATAAAAAAAATTACATCGGAAATTTTGTTTTCAAAAGTAATAACCAACTATAAAAAAATTAAAGTGAATTACAAGAATGATATTGTAAATAAGTATGGTTTATGGAAATTAAATAAAAAAAATGTGGGAAGCTAAATTGGGAAGCCTATAGGGTTGGAGCAAAAAAGTGTTTTGGGAAGACAAATATACACATTTGAGAGCTTGAGAGGCTAAATATAGCCTTTTGGGTTGGACATCACCAACCTCATCTCCATAATTCACTTGTCTTTACTCGCAACTAGGAAATGTTTTGTTGGGACATCAACAACTCACATCTTCAAGAAAACCAAACGCCCAATCGCCATCGCCAGTTTCTCTTCCAGAATCGTCGGGTTGTTGTGGCTGGGCGTTTCTTGTCTTCACTCACTCTCCAGGTTCTAACCCTTTTGTGGCTGTCAACCTCTTCCCCACTAGGTTCGTAATCCTCTCACTCGCCATTTCACTCTCTTCCTTCTACCGTAAAGCCATCTCTCGCCTGTAGTGATTTTGGTAGCGCTTCAGCCGACTCTGCCTTTCTTTTCCTCCCTTCATGATTCTGGGTTGGGATGACGATTGATGTTTTCCCCCCGTCTAATGTTGAATTTGCGTTCTTTGTTACATTGGATCATCTGGTTGAAGGCTCAAAATCTATCGGTTTTGATCGACTCTGGTTTTTTGGTGGGTTCATCGATTTAGAAGGTGTGATTCATTCTCATGTTCTGTTTCGTTGAAAATCTGGAATCTGGGATTGGTTTATCTATTTATTCGTTAGCTATCCTTTACCTTTGACTGTGCATTTGCATTGTACCCGTTACTGTTTATTATAAAATAAAATGACGCTACTTAGTTAAAAAGTTGGTGAATTCAACAGCCTTTTGGTTGTCCATGTGTATCAGGCGAGTTAGATTGGCTAATGTTCGTGTAAAAATGGAGAAATTTGCTATGGCACAAATAGTTGCATTGTTTAAAAAAATTACTGTCGTGTTAATAGCACAAATATTTGTGTGAGTGGCCAAATTTTATGCATTCACAGTGGTTTGTGGTGGAAAATCTTCCAATATGAACTCTTTGATCAAGCTGGTTTTGTTCATTTGATCCTTCATTGGTTGTATTCTCCTGTTGCAACTTGATTCTAAGTGTCCTTCAACTCCATTCACACAATACCTAGAATGCCTCTTCCTGTAAGGTTGACTTAACTTGAATATTATTCTGCAGATGGGAGAAGTTGCCAAGGATTTGGCTGCAGGGACAGTAGGAGGGGCAGCACAGTTGATAGTTGGCCACCCTTTTGACACCATTAAAGTCAAGCTCCAAAGCCAGCCTGTTCCACTCCCCGGACAGCCTCCAAAGTATGCAGGTGCTATTGATGCAGTGAAGAAGACTATATCAGCTGAAGGCGCCGGTGGACTATACAAAGGCATGGGAGCTCCTCTAGCCACAGTTGCTGCTTTCAATGCCGTGCTTTTCACTGTACGGGGACAAATGGAGGCTCTGCTAAGATCAGAACCTGGTGCCACGCTCACCATTGGCCAGCAGGTTGTTTGTGGTGCTGGAGCTGGATTGGCAGTCTCTATTCTTGCTTGTCCTACTGAGTTGATCAAGTGCAGGTTAGTAATATGGTTGCATTGGTGCAAGCTTTCCATGAATGTGTAGTCTATTATGAGAAATGTGATTGTTTATGACAGCTAGGTGTAGAATCAGACACTAGGTGAATATTGTGTCTTTCTTTTTAGTTGGGGTTGATTGAATGGGTCCCTTAATGCTGAAGTTTCAACCACTGAACTTTGATTTTTGATGGACATGCCACTGAACTTTGGAGTAGACACTTTCGACCTTTATCACTGTTATCCATAAACCATAAGGATACAAAGAACGGGAAGTTGGAAACATTGCCTATGGCTTCCAAACAAGTTCTTAGCCTTGACAAAGATTACTCTGCCATCAAATCTTCACGTTCACCAAATTCTTGTTTTTTTTGGCAACAAACAGGTTGCAAGCACAAAGTGCACTGGCAGTGGCTGACTCATCTGCAGCCACCGTGGCAGTGAAGTACAGCGGGCCAATGGACGTAGCCAAAAAAATCCTGAGATCAGAAGGCGGCACGAGGGGCCTATTCAAAGGTTTGGTCCCCACCATGGCCCGTGAGATTCCTGGCAATGCGACCATGTTTGGAGTCTACGAGCTGCTGAAGCAGACGATGGCAGGTGGGGAGGACACGTCCAAGCTAGGCAGAGGTTCCCTGATGCTGGCTGGAGGCCTTGCTGGGGCATCCCTCTGGCTCTTGGTCTACCCTACAGACGTCGTGAAAAGTGCCCTTCAGGTCGACGAGTTCAGTAAACCCAAGTTCTCCGGGTCCGTGGATGCGTTCAAGAAGATTCTGGCTGCAGAAGGTGTAAAGGGGTTGTACAAAGGCTTCGGTCCTGCCATGGTACGTAGCATCCCTGCGAATGCAGCGTGCTTCTTGGCGTACGAGGTCACCAAGTCTAGCCTGGGATGATTCGATTGATGAAGTTAAAGGTGAACTAACTTGGGATTACTTGTTGGATCACATTGCTTGTTGCTGAATTTTAAAACTCTACTCTAGCATTTAGTGTCATTAAATGAAAAAGGTTCTCTCATAAAATACGAATTATTTTCCTCTCTTTTTTTCTTCCATTGGTAATGTTTTTATCAGCAGCAATAGGATTCTCTGGGAATGCAATTAGGGGGTTTGGAAATTCATTGCTCATCAACTGCAATAACCTTGTTTTTGTGGATTATTGCTTTGGCCTACTACACTGAAATTAGTAGCCTATGCGACACATAGAAGTGAGTTTGCTGATCAAATTGATATTTAATCTAACAGCAAAGATCATATGATGTACTGTAGGGCTGGAAATTGGCCTGACCCGCCCCTGACCCTGTATGACCCGCCCCTAAAGGGTCAAGATGTATAACTGACCCGCCCCGACCCTGTTTCTTTTATGACCCTGTCTGGCCCTTTAGGGTCGGGGCGGGTCAAGAAGGGTCGGGTTAGTGGGTCGACCCTAATAAATAGACTACTTTTCTAAAAATTACAATTTGGTACCCGGATTTATTTTTTCTTATATTTTAGTACCTAAATTTTATTTCTTTTTTACAAATAAGTCCCTAAAATTTGATGGCAAAATTATATTTTGGTACCCAAAATTTTTAATTTTTACAATTTAGTACCTAAACTTTTAAAATTTTACAAATAGGTCCAACGTGTTTGTATGATGCTAAGGGTCATAGGGTCAAAAAGTGACCCGACCCTAAATTGACCCTGTAGACAAACTGACCCAACCCGACCCTGATGGTCGGGGCGGGTCGAGGCGGGTCAGTGGGTTTTAGGGGTCAAACTTACACCCCCTAAATTGTACTGTGACTGGAGAATGCTATTTTGTTGGGCATGTCTATTGTTATTTTACACTATTATTCAGTGTATTGCTTTGCAAAACCGTAACTTAGCGGCTGTCCTGTCGAAAAACCGCCTACCTGAATCCTAATTGGTAGGCTGCTTTAGCGGTATAAACGATTTTCTAGTACAACCTTCGGTTACAATTCTTTTTATTAATTTTGGCTGTTGTTTTTATATAAAAAAGACTAGTAATCAAATTTGAATTTTCGTTGTAACTATTTGTTCAATATGGTTATATAAACCTAGAATTACAACTTGCGGTACATTTTTTTACATAATGTTGCCCTTGTAATGTTCGTTAGATGAATTTTTGGAGTTGTATCGAGCAAGTTTCAAAAATACTCAAACATACAAGTAAATTGTAAATCAGTTTCGCATAGATTTACACATTTTTATAGTTAATTGTTATACAACTAAAATCAAAATTGTTCCAGGATGAATTGGATGGTCAAATTTATGATTATAAGTATGCAACTGTAAACTGTAAAGTAATATACCCAAAATTGAGGGTGTGTCTACGGACCCTATTTTCCTTATGATTATTTATTTATTTATTCATCTCTCAAATTAGTGTTGTCCGAGTGATGAGGCAAAAAAAAAAACTCTGGCGTGAAGACTATACTGCTCCAATTACCAAATTTTGATTTATTCTTCAGCTCTCAAATTAGGGCCTAATTAGCATATGTTTAGGGGCAGCTATCATAAATTACCAGAAATAGGAAGGGAGGAGGAGTCTGAAATTGTCAAACTTCACCACAAAACTTGCTTGATTAATAATGATAATGACAGTGATGATAATAATGATGATCAATAACCATTTACCACAAGTAAAGCTTTGAGGAAACTTTAGAGAGGGGAAAAAAAAAAAAAAAGAACTCTCAGAAAACAGAATCTTAGAGATCTGTCATTAGTGATTAGATCAAGTTAATGGCAGCAATAATGCAGGTAGAAGGAGGAGCCAACAGAGTTCAACAACACAAGCAGCAGACAGCTGCTAATCATCAGTTCCCTGTCCCTCTTGTTTCCAGATTGGATCACTTGGATTCCCTTGTGAGTTTCCTCCTCTCTTTTTTTTTTTTTTTGCCCCCCTTCTGATTTATGGATTCCTTTGTTACAAGTTAGTCGAAGAAAGAACGCGACTTAGTGATAAGGATTTCGAGTTATCAATTGATCTATAGAGTTAAATATTTCGAATGGACAACTTATATACGGCAGATTTGATTTGCTTCCATTTCGAATGACGAATTCATGAAAACAAGTTGTTTTTCCTTTTGTGTTGCCCTTGAATTTTCCGTTGAAGATGAAGTACTTGGAAGGGAAACAAAACACGCAAAAGGGAGTAGGAGGAGGAGGAGGAGGAGAGGCAGCAAAGCAGCAAACTGCAGCAATGTTGGAAGTGGCAATGAGGGAGGCTTACTTCAAGGGCTCTTTGATGGATCGTGTCGCTTCTCTCGAACACCGGCTTTTCCAGGTTCTGACTTCCGAATAGCTCAAAAGTTACATTCTATATGTTAGTGTTGTGGTATATGATCCACGATTGAACCTCTCCCAACAACTCGAGTTATTGGAATCAACTGGTTCTTAACATGGTATCAGAGCCTAGAACCAAAAGGTCATGTGTTCGAATCTCCACGACCCCCAATATTAACTGTTGTCTTTCAAGCACATGGTATGGTGGGCCTGTGCAAACTTCAAGCCCGTGGGTTGGCTTTCGTTTGAGGGGGCATGTTAGAGAGTGGTATAAGATCCAGCGTAACCTTCTCCCAACAACTCGAGTTATTGGGAGCAACTGGTTCATGACACTATACGCTCAACTTGAATAACACTGGATGCAAAATATTTGGATGCCTTGTGCAGAGACTAACTGTTAATATCGATATGAAAAAGACTATCTGAACATCAGTTTCTGAAATTCTTTATACAGATTTCTCGATCTCGCGAGCTTCGTTGTTCATGTGTGGTTTATTGATTTCATTTGTTCAGTTATGTCTAGAGATGGAGTCAACCAACACCTCTGCTAGTTCATCTCAAACATCGGGAGGAGGCAGCACCTCCACCTCCTCTACCACCACCGCGGCAGGGTCCAGAAGCCAGACGCCATCCTCGTCTTTCCCAACATTCAGCCTTTCCAATCCGTGCCACCCTCTTCTTCATCACCACCATGATCGATCTCATCTTCAGCAGGCAAGTGCTCATATTGTATACTCTTACGCTCAGCGCGAGACATCATTAAAGTGTTAACTCTTTTATAATAGATTCAAACCATCATAGTTTCCAGTAGGGTTTTGTGTAATCTAATGTCATCCAACAATGTTCTTCATTTGGGTTTGGTTTTGTATAACATTATTTTTAGGTAGAGGAGGAGAGAGAGGAAGAAGGAGAGACAAAGGGCAAGGATTCAAAGAAAGGCAGCAGCAGCAGCAAAAACAACAGTAAAACCAGAAAGGAAGAGAAGAACTGCAGATCAAATGGGAACACTAGCAGCAACAAAAAGCAGATCAAATGGCCACAGATCAGACCTCTTAAGCTTCTAGGATGCTAAGAATCAAGTTTCCTTACCTACCACTCCACCTTGTTCTTTTCTTGTTTCGATATGTATGGAATCGTACTTGAGATGGAAGCAGTGACACTAGCGATTCAGGATCTAAAAAAGGATTGCGCCAATCATGGTTGAACCTGTACCAACAAATTGCTACAATCTCACAAACAATATTGCTTTATCTTGTTGTTCTTCTCTTCCTCTTTCGGATAGTTCATGTTATACATAGAATGGATACTAAATTTGACAGCATGTTAACGCATGTTCTAGATAGACCTGACAAACGGGTCGACTCAGAATGATTTCCTAGTCAAAGTTGTAGTTCTTAAAAAGTTATGCGTAATAAAAAAAAAACTTTACGACGTTCGGATTGAGGAGCTAAAAGTTATGTCCTTCCAAAGTTTGGCAAAATCGAAAAATTGCTCGTTCGGGGTAACAAACGACATTTTTTTTAGACAAAGTCTTCTTGCAGATTGAAAGATCTTGAAAAGTTATATGGAATAGAAAAAATTTTCGCTACAATCGGATAACCGAGCGCAAAGTTACGTTTGTTTGAAATTTCAGTGTTAAGTCGGGCATTCACCGCGGCCGTCAACCACGGTAATGCATTCACCGCTTTGGTCTGACAACAGCGGTGATGCCCAAACATGTATATTTTGGAAATTTTTTTATAACGTGTGTATTTTGAGAATTTTTTTAAAAAAACATGTGTATTTTTGGAATTCGTCCTTCTCTTAGTGATTTTCGGGCTTAATATTGATTTTTCATCGACTGTCTTTCTGAATTTGAGATCGGGTTTCAGTCTCTCTTGAAAACATGATGATTACTTTAGTATTATTGTTTCATATCTGGTCTTTTGAAGGAGGCTTTTGGTCTCCATGGAAATACCAAGTATAATAGATAAATTCGGTACTAAATTCAGTCGTGCAACAAAGGGATGGAGAGATTTGCATGCAGGAGAATCTATCAGCATTCTCAATTTTGAACCCCTCAGCAACTTACTATCGTTTTTTCCTCTTTTATTTTTGATGAGTCACAATCACCATATTCGATAGAAAGAAGGAAGAATGAAGAGAAATAGAAATAAGTGACATGAGTCTAGAGAAGAAACAAAAGGAGAGAACATGGAATTGAATACAATTTGTGAAGAACAAATAACAACATAAGAGGGACAAAAAGAGAGAAAACCAAGGAATGTAGCCATTCTCTCCACCAATCTATGCATGAAATACTATCCTCTTTTCATGTTTTTCTTCTTCTCAATTTAACCTCTAACTCATTTACTAGCAGGATTGACAAGATGCTAAAGTTTGGATATCTCCACCGACAAGGACGAAGCTGTTAGTGCAAACAACTAATTTATCTATTCATATTTTATTCATTTTTTACTTCGGTCCTATTACAATTTGCAAGTAATAGCACCGTATCGTTTTTTCGTTGTTCACATGTCCGCTATGAAGCACGACTTCCGATTTCTAGCAACTATTATTGTTGCCACCATGTATGCAGCATATATTTATGAGTCAACATAGCGTTCTTGGAGGGAGGAGTACGGATTTCTTTGTCACGTTTGGTGGTATATTTGACCACCAACTGAGTAGATAGATATAGACACCCATACCATCATTTATGAAGTAATCCCAAACATGTGTATTTTGGGAAAATTTTTTATAACGTGTGTATTTTGGGAATTTTTTTTTAAAAACATGTATATTTTGGGAATTCGTCCTAAAAAGTTGGTGAATTCAACAGCCTTTTGGTTGTCCATGTGTATCAGGCGAGTTAGATTGGCTAATGTTCGTGTAAAAATGGAGAAATTTGCTATGGCACAAATAGTTGCATTGTTTAAAAAAATTACTGTTGTGTTAATAGCACAAATATTTGTGTGAGTGGCCAAATTTTATGCATTCACAGTGGGTTTGTGGTGGAAAATCTTCCAATATGAACTCTTTGATCAAGCTGGTTTTGTTCATTTGATCCTTCATTGGTTGTATTCTCCTGTTGCAACTTGATTCTAAGTGTCCTTCAACTCCATTCACACAATACCTAGAATGCCTCTTCCTGTAAGGTTGACTTAACTTGAATATTATTCTGCAGATGGGAGAAGTTGCCAAGGATTTGGCTGCAGGGACAGTAGGAGGGGCAGCACAGTTGGTAGTTGGCCACCCTTTTGACACCATTAAAGTCAAGCTCCAAAGCCAGCCTGTTCCACTCCCCGGACAGCCTCCAAAGTATGCAGGTGCTATTGATGCAGTGAGGAAGACTATATCAGCTGAAGGCGCCGGTGGACTATACAAAGGCATGGGAGCTCCTCTAGCCACAGTTGCTGCTTTCAATGCTGTGCTTTTCACTGTACGGGGACAAATGGAGGCTCTGCTAAGATCAGAACCTGGTGCCACGCTCACCATTGGCCAGCAGGTTGTTTGTGGTGCTGGAGCTGGATTGGCAGTCTCTATTCTTGCTTGTCCTACTGAGTTGATCAAGTGCAGGTTAGTAATATGGTTGCATTGGTGCAAGCTTTCCATGAATGTGTAGTCTATTATGAGAAATGTGATTGTTTATGACAACTAGGTGTAGAATCAGACACTAGGTGAATATTGTGTCTTTCTTTTTAGTTAATGCTGGAGTTTCAACCACTGAACTTTGATTTTTGATGGACATGCCACTGAACTTTGGAGTAGACACTTTCGACCTTTATCACTGTTATCCATAAACCACAAGGATACAAAGAACGGGAAGTTGGAAACATTGCCTATGGCTTCCAAACAAGTTCTTAGCCTTGACAAAGATTACTCTGCCATCAAATCTTCACGTTCACCAAATTCTTGTTTTTTTTGGCAACAAACAGGTTGCAAGCACAAAGTGCACTGGCAGTGGCTGACTCATCTGCAGCCACCGTGGCAGTGAAGTACAGCGGGCCAATGGACGTAGCCAAAAAAATCCTGAGATCAGAAGGCGGCACGAGGGGCCTATTCAAAGGTTTGGTCCCCACCATGGCCCGTGAGATTCCTGGCAATGCGACCATGTTTGGAGTCTACGAGCTGCTGAAGCAGACGATGGCAGGTGGGGAGGACACGTCCAAGCTAGGCAGAGGTTCCCTGATGCTGGCTGGAGGCCTTGCTGGGGCATCCCTCTGGCTCTTGGTCTACCCTACAGACGTCGTGAAAAGTGCCCTTCAGGTCGACGAGTTCAGTAAACCCAAGTTCTCCGGGTCCGTGGATGCGTTCAAGAAGATTCTGGCTGCAGAAGGTGCAAAGGGGTTGTACAAAGGCTTCGGTCCTGCCATGGTACGTAGCATCCCTGCGAATGCAGCGTGCTTCTTGGCGTACGAGGTCACCAAGTCTAGCCTGGGATGATTCGATTGATGAAGGTTAAGGTGAACTAACTTGGGATTACTTGTTGGATCACATTGCTTGTTGCTGAATTTTAAAACTCTACTCTAGCATTTAGTGTCATTAAATGAAAAAGGTTCTCTCATAAAATACGAATTATTTTCCTCTCTTTTTTTCTTCCATTGGTAATGTTTTTATCAGCAGCAATAGGATTCTCTGGGAATGCAATTAGGGGGTTTGGAAATTCATTGCTCATCAACTGCAATAACCTTGTTTTTGTGGATTATTGCTTTGGCCTACTACACTGAAATTAGTAGCCTATGCGACACATAGAAGTGAGTTTGCTGATCAAATTGATATTTAATCTAACAGCAAAGATCATATGATGTACTGTAGGGCTGGAAATTGGCCTGACCCGCCCCTGACCCTGTATGACCCGCCCCTAAAGGGTCAAGATGTATAACTGACCCGCCCCGACCCTGTTTCTTTTATGACCCTGTCTGGCCCTTTAGGGTCGGGGCGGGTCAAGAAGGGTCGGGTTAGTGGGTCGACCCTAATAAATAGACTACTTTTCTAAAAATTACAATTTGGTACCCGGATTTATTTTTTCTTATATTTTAGTACCTAAATTTTATTTCTTTTTTACAAATAAGTCCCTAAAATTTGATGGCAAAATTATATTTTGGTACCCAAAATTTTTAATTTTTACAATTTAGTACCTAAACTTTTAAAATTTTACAAATAGGTCCAACGTGTTTGTATGATGCTAAGGGTCATAGGGTCAAAAAGTGACCCGACCCTAAATTGACCCTGTAGACAAACTGACCCAACCCGACCCTGATGGTCGGGGCGGGTCGAGGCGGGTCAGTGGGTTTTAGGGGTCAAACTTACACCCCCTAAATTGTACTGTGACTGGAGAATGCTATTTTGTTGGGCATGTCTATTGTTATTTTACACTATTATTCAGTGTATTGCTTTGCAAAACCGTAACTTAGCGGCTGTCCTGTCGAAAAACCGCCTACCTGAATCCTAATTGGTAGGCTGCTTTAGCGGTATAAACGATTTTCTAGTACAACCTTCGGTTACAATTCTTTTTATTAATTTTGGCTGTTGTTTTTATATAAAAAAGACTAGTAATCAAATTTGAATTTTCGTTGTAACTATTTGTTCAATATGGTTATATAAACCTAGAATTACAACTTGCGGTACATTTTTACATAATGTTACCCTTGTAATGTTCTTTAGATGAATTTTTTTAGTTGTATCAAACAAGTTTCAAAAATACTTAAATATACTAGTAAATTGTAAATAATTTTTGCATAGATTCACACATTTTTATTGTTAATTGTTATACAACTAAAATCAAAATTGTTCCAGGATGAATTGGATGGTCAAATTTATGATTATAAGTATGCAACTGTAAAGTAATATACCCAAAATTGAGGGTGTGTCTACGGACCCTATTTTCCTTATGATTATTTATTCCTCTCTCAAATTAGTGTTGTCCGAGTGATGAGGCAAAAAAAACTCTGGCGTGAAGACTATACTGCTCCAATTACCAAATTTTGATTTATTCTTCAGCTCTCAAATTAGGGCCTAATTAGCATATGTTTAGGGGAAGCTATCATAAATTACCAGAAATAGGAAGGGAGGAGTCTGAAATTGTCAAACTTCACCACAAAACTTGCTTGATTAATAATGATAATGACAGTGATAATAATAATGATGATCAATAACCATTTACCACAAGTAAAGCTTTGAGGAAACTTTAGAGAGGAAAAAAAAAAAGAACTCTCAGAAAACAGAATCTTAGAGATCTGTAATTAGTGATTAGATCAAGTTAATGGCAGCAATAATGCAGGTAGAAGGAGGAGCCAACAGAATTCAACAACACAAGCAGCAGACAGCTGCTAATCATCAGTTCCCTGTCCCTCTTGTTTCCAGATTGGATCACTTGGATTCCCTTGTGAGTTTCCTCCTCTCTTTTTTTTTTGTTGCCCCCCCTTCTGATTTATGGATTCCTTTGTTACAAGTTAGTCGAAGAAAGAACGCGACTTAGTGATAAGGATTTCGAGTTATCAATTGATCTATAGAGTTAAATATTTCGAATGGACAAACTTATATACGGCAGATTTGATTTGCTTCCATTTCGATAGACGAATTCATGAAAACAAGTTGTTTTTCCTTTTTTCTTTTCCGTTGAAGATGAAGTACTTGGAAGGGAAACAAAACTCCCAAAAGGGAGGAGGAGGAGGAGGAGGAGGAGAGGCAGCAAAGCAGCAAACTGCAGCAATGTTGGAAGTGGCAATGAGGGAGGCTTACTTCAAGGGCTCTTTGATGGATCGTGTCGCTTCTCTCGAACACCGGCTTTTCCAGGTTCTGACTTCTGAATAGCTCAAAAGTTACATTCTATTTCTATAGCTCAACTTGAATTAACACTAGATGCAAAATATTTGGATGCCTTGTGCAGAGACTAACTGTTAATATCGAAATGAAAAAATGACTACCTGAACATCAGTTTCTGAAATTCTTTATACAAATTTCTCGATCTCGCACGAGCGTCGTTGTTCATGTGTGGTTTATTCATTTCATTTGTTCAGTTATGTCTAGAGATGGAGTCAACCAACACCTCTGCTAGTTCATCACAAACATCGGGAGGAGGCAGCACCTCCACCTCCTCTACCACCACCGCGGCAGGGTCCAGAAGCCAGACGCCATCCTCGTCTTTCCCAACATTCAGTCTTTCCAATCCGCGCCACCCTCTTCTTCATCACCACCATGCTCGATCTCATCTTCAGCAGGCAAGTGCTTCATATTGTATACTCTTTACGCTCAGCGCGAGACATCATTAAAGTGTTAACTCTTTTATAATAGATTCAAACCATCATAGTTTCCAGTAGGGTTTTGTGTAATCTAATGTCATCCAACAATGTTCTTCATTTGGGTTTGGTTTTGTATAACATTATTTTTAGGTAGAGGAGGAGAGAGAGGAAGAAGGGGAGACAAAGGGCAAGGATTCAAAGAAAGGCAGCAGCAGCAGCAAAAACAACAGTAAAACCAGAAAGGAAGAGAAGAACTGCAGATCAAATGGGAACACTAGCAGCAACAAAAAGCAGATCAAATGGCCACAGATCAGACCTCTTAAGCTTCTAGGATGCTAAGAATCAAGTTTCCTTACCGACCGCTCCACCTTGTTCTTTTCTTGTTTCAATATGTATGGAATCGTACTTGAGATTGAAGCAGTGACACTAGCGATTCAGGATCTAAAAAAGGATTGTGCCAATCATGGTTGAACCTGTACCAACAAATTGCTACAATTTCACAAACAATATTGCTTTATCTTGTCGTTCTTCTCTTCCTCTTTCGGATAGTTCATGTTATACATAGAATGAATACTAAATTTGACAGCATGTTAACGCATGTTCTAGATAGACCTGACAAACGGGTCGACTCAGAATGATTTCCTAGTCAAAGTTGTAGTTCTTAAAAAGTTATGCGCAATAATAAAAAAAAAAAAACTTTACGACGTTCGGATTGAGGAGCTAAAAGTTATGTCTTTCCAAAGTTTGGCAAAATCGAAAAATTGCTCGTTCGGGGTAACAAACGACATTTTTTTAGACGAAGTCTTCTTGCAGATTGAAAGATCTTGAAAAGTTATATGGAATAGAAAAAAATTTTCGCTACAATCGGATAACCGAGCGCAAAGTTACGTTTGTTTGAAATTTCAGTGTTAAGTCGGGCATTCACCGCGGCCGTCAACCGCGGTAATGCATTCGCTTTGGTCTGACAACAGCGGTGATGCCCAAACATGTATATTTTGGAAATTTTTTTATAACGTGTGTATTTTGAGAATTTTTTTAAAAAAACATGTGTATTTTTGGAATTCGTCCTTCTCTTAGTGATTTTCGGGCTTAATATTGATTTTTCATCGACTGTCTTTCTGAATTTGAGATCGGGTTTCAGTCTCTCTTGAAAACATGATGATTACTTTAGTATTATTGTTTCATATCTGGTCTTTTGAAGGAGGCTTTTGGTCTCCATGGAAATACCAAGTATAATAGATAAATTCGGTACTAAATTCAGTCGTGCAACAAAGGGATGGAGAGATTTGCATGCAGGAGAATCTATCAGCATTCTCAATTTTGAACCCCTCAGCAACTTACTATCGTTTTTTCCTCTTTTATTTTTGATGAGTCACAATCACCATATTCGATAGAAAGAAGGAAGAATGAAGAGAAATAGAAATAAGTGACATGAGTCTAGAGAAGAAACAAAAGGAGAGAACATGGAATTGAATACAATTTGTGAAGAACAAATAACAACATAAGAGGGACAAAAAGAGAGAAAACCAAGGAATGTAGCCATTCTCTCCACCAATCTATGCATGAAATACTATCCTCTTTTCATGTTTTTCTTCTTCTCAATTTAACCTCTAACTCATTTACTAGCAGGATTGACAAGATGCTAAAGTTTGGATATCTCCACCGACAAGGACGAAGCTGTTAGTGCAAACAACTAATTTATCTATTCATATTTTATTCATTTTTTACTTCGGTCCTATTACAATTTGCAAGTAATAGCACCGTATCGTTTTTTCGTTGTTCACATGTCCGCTATGAAGCACGACTTCCGATTTCTAGCAACTATTATTGTTGCCACCATGTATGCAGCATATATTTATGAGTCAACATAGCGTTCTTGGAGGGAGGAGTACGGATTTCTTTGTCACGTTTGGTGGTATATTTGACCACCAACTGAGTAGATAGATATAGACACCCATACCATTATTTATGAAGTAATCCACCTTCCCACCTAGAGATACAACGCAAAAAATACTATTGTATGTCTGGGTGAACGCACGAAAATGACGAGCAGTGGTAGTTTGTCCCTTCAAGTAGTTCTCGAAAACATTATGGTGGATCTCATCTTGGTGGTAGCCTAACCCTTCCTTTTTTTTTATAGCAGAACAAAAACAATATAGTTTTGAGGTTTCGTGTTGTGACAACACTTTCTAACCACCATAACTTAGTACGATATAAGGGATAAACATAAGATGACTCGCCATCCTCGACTTTCCCAACATTTAGTCTTTCCAATATGTGCTACCCTCTTCTTCATCACCACCCTGCTCGACCTCATCTTCAACAGTCAAGTGCTCATATCGTATACTCTTACTCTTACGCTTAGTGAGACATCCTTAAAACGTAACTCTTATACAATTAGATTCAAACCATCATAATTTCCATTAGGCTTTTGTCTAATCTAATTTCATCCAACAATGTTCTTCATATGGGATTTGGTTTTGTATAACTTTTTTAGGTAAGAGGAAGAGAGGGGAAGAAGGGGAGACAAAGGGCAAGGATTCAAAGAAAGGCAGCAAGAAACAACAGTAAAACCTGAAAGGAAGATAAGAACTGCAGATCAAATGGGAACACTAGCAGCAACATAAAGCATATCAAATGGCCACAAAGTAACATACTTGCAAAAATCCATCCGAGTAAAAGATCTGTATGAACAAATGCAACTTAAATGTTTAGTGTAACTAATGAGTTATTGACAACTGTGGAAGCAAATATAATCTCTCTTATTATAAAACAAAAACTCCCTCTCACTTGGCTGTAATTTCTTTACGGTGTTTCAGTGTACCTTCATGAAAGAAGCCCTCTACCTGGAGCTGATGTTGGGTCATGAACCACACAGGCCGAATTCGAAAGGCTATCCAGCTGTATGCTGCTTGCATCTGTTGGGTCCTCCGTAATGGTCACTACTGCGCTTCACAACATTCCGGCATAAATAACAGTAGTGTTTTTTGCACTTCCAGCAGAAAATGTGATTGTTATTTTCTATCTGCACGACACAATACAATACATGAGTAAAACCAGGCATCATCAAGGAAACTTTTTCCCCCGAGTTGAACTAAGCCTCCAATAAGAGAATTTAGCAATTAACCACAAATAAGTCCATCCTGAACCAAACTTCAGGAATCACACATCACTAACCTTCCAATTCTGATGATTACAACTAGCACATTTGTGAGGATGACCAATGTTTTCAACTCGAACCACCCCTCCAGCCTGGCGATTATTCATCTGCTGCTCCCACTGGCGAATTGATTCAGCCGGGAATAGTTCACACTCTCCACCACTTCAAAATGTCTACCCATCAGTTTGTCCATAGAGCAATGTAAGGAGATAAAAATCAGTTCCACACTCTTTCAAGTTAGTAGGGGGGTTACCTGAAGTGGTCATATCCGTCAATGGATAAGTTGCAACGGTAACAAAAGTAGTTCCCACAGTTCCCACAAACCATCTTGTTGCATCCGCCAGTTCTTGAAATTGCCATTCTGCAAACTGGGCATTGCTTAGAATCACGAGCTATGTAACTCTCGCTCAGAAACTCATTGATCTTATTTTGCTCCACACGCATTTGAGCCACGCTTCGAGAGGACTTGAGGCGCTCCTATTGCGCAGAATGGAAGAACAAGAGGTATCAGTTTCATCAAACAACACATAAAGAGAGCGATAAAGGTGTCAGAATGAGTCGTGATTTTTGGAACATCTAGAATGATTTGAGCCCTACACAAACCTGCAATATTTGAAGCCTTAACTCTGGCGTTAGGCAGGCTTCGCCTATATGGCGTTTATTCTTGCAAAGAGAGCAAAAACTAAAGAAGCAATTAGAGCACTGGGCACAATGGTCTTCATCCTCAATGCAGACAAGTTCACATCTTGGGCAATACACAACATCAGACATACAATCGAGTGTCTTCTGTAGCATCAAAGACTCATAGTGTTCATATTTTTCATCACCCAACAACTCTTTCAATAGACCCTGTGGTATGATACCCCCGCATTTGGACTCTGGACATAGAAGTTTATTCAATGTGCCTTCTGAAACATGCAAGTCAGAATAAGTCTTCATGCAGTTCCGGCAGAAGAAATGCTGACACGGTAGTCTAACAAAGTCACTGCCTGGTCAAAGAAATGACACAAAATTGATGGGTCACTCTTCCTTGGTAAGCACATAGATGCATAAGGTTATTAAGTAAGATCAAAACATTGGGAAATACTGTATTCAATGCTGAATTTTGGGAAATAAATCTACTGAATGTGATCAACAGAGCAACAAAGAAATATAAATTCATGGTAATAATGCATAGTGAGTACAAGATCGTCCAAAGTCATAATGCCCTCATTTCTTTACATGAGACCAAAACAGCTAAACAAGATATTTCACAGCACAAATTGATTTCCTGTCAGTTGAAATGTAGGAAGAATGTTATTTTCTAATTCTAATGATGTTAACTCAAGAGTTTCAATTCTCTCTAGTCCTATAGGCATAATTCATTAGGGGGGAGAAGCTTTTTACCTGCATGCTCGGAAAAACAGATGCTGCACTGATGGAAATCATTAAGGAAATTCTCAAGGACCTGCTTATCATTATACCTTCTGAGTGAAGGAATGTCAACATCCGGGGAGACACTTCCCGAAACTGCACGCCTGTCTCCGATATGTTTTATTCCATAAGGACCGAGTATGATCTCTTGATGAATACCAAGCTGAGGGAGAGAAAAGCTTTGAAGCCAGTCAATCCATTGATACATAACTTCTTGCCCCTGCTGTTCCATCCATAACGAATCCAGCACAGAACAAAGACTTGCAATTCTAGGACAATCCAACCATTGAACAGAAATGGTGAAATGTGGAGGCTTGTGGCTTGGGTATGATTTTGGGAATAAGCATGTCAGCACAATTGGTGGAAGAAACTTGACTCTGAATGAATAAGAGAACTCATCTGTAGTACTTGAGCTATCCATCTTCATCTCACCAGATGAATGAAGTTTCGTGGTTATCGTAAATTCATCAGGAATTTTAGGTTCAATACGAACCTGCAACATTACAATGTCATAAGAATCTTCAATCCATTCAATCATCCCACGAACTTTGCCAATTCATTCGTGTACTGAGTGAGTGAGTGAGTGAGTGAGGTATACCTCGAAAGCTCTCAAACCTCTCTCCCTGTCAAGAATGATGACATTTTCTCCATAAATAGACTCCATTGCAAGTAACTACAGGAAAAGTTACGAAAGAAAGAAGCCATGGAAATGTCAAAAGCAAACTAGGAAAGCTTTTCCAGAGACGTCGAAGTAATAAGGAGTCAAACTAGTAAACCAGCACCGTTTACCTCATCTTCCTGCAACTGATCGTTGATTCTGAGCTGATCAGCAGACAGCTCCGGCTCATCCACGGCCAACTGCAACTCCTCCAACACTCTCATAACATCAACCACGCCAGTGGATGGTTCTTCGCCGCCGATATCGTTCTCAATCTCACTCGCCCTGTCATCTGACTCCAACAGATTACCCTTCTCAGTTGCCGGGCTTTCCCCTGAGCTCGGAAAACCTTTGCACATCTCAACTCTCGGCGAAATCGGTCCATCATTATCCAAACCCAAAGTACCAGTCTCACCGGTGCCATCCTGAACACCGTCCACCAGCTCAGACTTCCCGACAGGCTTCTTGGACGCCTTCCGGCGACGATTCGGCCGTTTGGTAGGGGCTTTGGGGCATTCAGGCAGGTGAGGGGAACCGATGCCAGAGTCTTTGATGTCCCCTCTCGGCATATTGCTACTTCAAAGCTGCCTCGCCGGCCGAGAAGAGAACCTAAATTAAATTGTGGGTTGATCAGGCGGCGACCTCGACGGCGTTCCGACTAGAGAGGAATCATAGCGCTGGAAGCAAAGTTCACGAGAAACAGAAACGCTATCAGTTGCCGAATTTGAGATCACAACGACGGCAATCAGTTCAGCCATGAACTTCGACGGATTTTGGTATTTTTAGGTTTTCAGAGCAGCCGAACCTTGATGACGGTTATTGATTCTCTACTCTTTCTGGTTCGGATTTGGAATTTATTTCGCAGGGCGCACTTCTCTCAAACAGATTTCCAACTGAATCGCTATTCATAGTGAAAACATTTTAAAAAAAATCTTCCTAAATCACACTAAATTGACACATATACCCCTAACTTCAAACCTAAACTAAACTTGACACATAACACTAAATTAATAATTAAAACAGCCTCAGACACGTCTCGTCCTCCCCGCCCCGCAGCCGACCAGAATTTCCGACGTCCTTCCCGCCGTCCAGGATTTTCCGGCGGTGTGCATCTCCTACGCCACCATTTATTAGTCCCACCAATTTTTGGTGCGGCAGAGAGAGTCATTTTTTGTGGGAGAGAAAGAGATTTTTCGGCGACCAGTGACGTCAGAAAAGAAGAATGATTAAGTGTGACATGTTTCAGTAATTCGAGTGACATTCATAAAAAAGAAGTAATTCAAGTGATCAGAGTTGGACGGAGGCTAACGGAAGAGTGACTAAATGTGTTCTTGTTTAGTAATTCGAGTAACCAAAATTGATATTAATTTTTTCTAATGACTAAACATAACACGATTTAGTAATCCCAGTGACCAAATGTGTCATTTACCCAAATTGGAATTTAACTCTATAGTCAATAACCATGCATAATTCAATTAGAATACGCCATATTAGCACACTCTCTCTTCTGGAAAGCCTTAAATCTTTTTTTCTTTAATCTTTAACGGACGATTTCTCTCTCATTTAAGTCGGAATTCAAAAAAATTTCACAGATAAATCAGATTAATTGTGCTCTTCAAAATGATATTCACTTTGATATATTTTTTAAACAAAAAATTGATGCATTATTTATGAGTCTATACCATGGTGGTATTGATTGGTATTAAAATAAGAACATATCATATGGTAGTTGAATACATGATTGTAAGAGTATACCGACTGTCATTTACTACTTTCAACGTTGTGTACCACAAGATACCACCCTCCGTACCAGGGTGGTATTATGTGGTACTTTTTGGTCTCGTATTTTGTTCACTCAAAATTTGTATATCCAATAGATCATGATGAACTCATTTCTTCTATGAATTTTTTTTCAAAAACGACTTAAAAATGAGGAAGATACCATATGATATGGAGTTGGTCACGAAAGGTAGAATTTTTTTCTCAAAAAATAATAAAAATGGATCTCATTTTGTAAAGCACGACAAACTCGTTCAATCTGTGTAAAAAAATTGAAATCCAAGTTATAACGCAAAAATTATGATTCGATTAAAAAAAGTAGGGGACATAAAATGTCTTTAATTCTTAACCCTTAGATCTGCAGTCCACTTAAAAGTAAGGGTCCAGATTTGATTACTCATATTAAGCACCCTAAGGTTACTTACTCTATCTTGAGCCCTGCGGCCGGGTGGCAGGCTGAGATGAGTCAGTTTATCTAAGGCCATCAAAATTTAGCACATATAAATTAATATCAAGAGTTTTAATTAAGGGTAAACACTAATTATTGGGAGGGCTAGAATGCTAACACTAACTCTAGTCAATAGGAACATTTCTAACTCTAGTCAATAGGAACATTTCGTTTGATGAATTTTTTAATTTAGATGAATTGATCACAATTAATGACGAAAAGGGGAAGGAGAGATACGCTTGGTATTCTGAAAAACTGGGGAAGGAATAGGTGACCAACGTGGGTTAGGCATTAAATGAAGGAGGGGAAGGGGAACCACCAAATGCACATTACAAAATCTGCACCACAACTTCACATACCACAAGTTCCTCAAAGTAGACCAGGATTTACATAAAACACACCACAAGTTTCTTGAAGTAGATTAGAAGTTTACTGAAGTAGACCACAAGTCTCATGAAGCATACCACAAGTCACATAAAGCTCCACAAATCGTAGAAAAGCGAACACAAATTTATAAAAGCACACCACAAATTCATTAAGGGATCGTTTGGAACTTTTTGATTCTGGAAATGATGTATTACAAGTATGTATATTAAGATTATGTGTATACTATAAATGTGTGGTTTTGAAAATTCATTGTCTGGAACCCATACAAAAATGCATGAATTATAGTTTAAATGAACTATATATACTATCCAATCGTAATCAGACGAGTACTTCCACTGTTTTCACAACCAAAGCTTCTAGGCAAGCTGTCAAGCAGAGGCTCCATCTCTCTCACACTCATTTACTGACTCATCATCAAACTTCTAGGCAGAGGAAGACAAGTGCGCATATGGATTAAATAGCAATCGACTTCTAGTAGTAGTGACAAATGCCACTTGTATGCTCTCCTCTAACTTATTAAGATAAAACTAATCAACTGTTAAAGCGTAAAACAACCAGTTAACCACAATATTAGCAGGAGCGAAAACCCCGTTTTGTGTGTGTGTGTGTTCGTGAAAGAACTGGAAGGAATCGTCTCACTGGTAATGACTGAACTTGAAGGCTATCCAGCTGTATGCTGCTTGCATTTCTTCGGGCCGTAATGCTCACTGCTACGCTTCACAACCTTGCGACACAAGTAACAGTAGTGCTTTTGGCATGCCCAGCAGAATATGTGATTGTTATTGTCCGTCTGCGTGATAGAATTAACAGTGCATGTTATAAGCAAGAAGTAGGCATCATCGAGGAACCATAAACCAGGAATCAAACATCTTCCTACTACGAACCTTGGCATTCCGTTGACCACAATTAGGACACGAGTGAGCTTCACCAAGGTTGAGTTCAGCTCGAACCCGACCAACAGTCTGACGCATATTCATCTGCGCCTCCCACTGCTGAATAGCTTCTTGTGAGAATAGTTCACAGGCTCCATCCCTTCAAAACGACACCAGTCAGTTTGCTCCAAAAAGTTGCAACAAGGGTACATAGAGAGTACATTGATATCTAACACTTCATTTAGACAGTGGCAAATACCAACTCGACATACTTAAACTCATCTTAACCGATTACAATTTTCCAGAGAATATCATTAATCTAGCAGCCCACCAACCCATTTCAACCCAGACCATGAACCCACCAACACAATCCATTTGCCACCTCTATTCATGTTCGAGTAACTGGAGGGTTATTACCTGAAGTGTTCATATCCTGTGATGGCTTTGTTACAGAGGTAACAGAAGTAGTTCCCACAGCTACCACAAACCATCTTGTTACAGCCCTCGGTCTTCGAAATTGCCATTTTGCAATGTGGACAAAGCTTGGCATCTCGAGCTATTTCCTTCTCACTCAAAAGTTCGTTGATCTTATTTTGTTCTGCAAGCCTCTGAGTTGAGCTAATTTGAGAAGACTTGAGGCGCATCTGTGAAGCCCAGAACGTAGAAAAATGAGGGCTTTAGTTTCATCAACAACCTGAAATGAGAAAAAAGAAAGAAAGAAAGGGCTAGATAACATACCTCCAATAATTGAAGCTTCAACTCTGGGGTCAGGCAAGGTTCACCTACATGGCGTGCATTCTTGCAAAGAGAGCAAAAGTTAAAGAAGCACTTGGGGCACTGAGCAAAATTGTCGTCATCTTCAATGCAGACAAACTCACATCTTGGGCAATACACAGCATCTGACATACACTCGAGCGTCTTCTGTAGCAACAAGGACTCGTAGCGTTCATACTTTTCATCGCCGAGTAACTGTTTCAATAGACCAGGTGGTACCATACCCCCACATTTTGACTGAGGACACAGGAGTTTATTCACAGTGCCTTCTGAAACATGCAAGTCGGAATAAGTCTTGATGCAGTTCCGGCAGAAGAAATGCTGACATGGTAGTCTGAAAAAGTCACTGCCTGGTCAATGTAATCACAAAAAAAGGCGATGCGTCAGTTTACAAAAAATTATGCTTGGTAGTACATATATTTATAAGATTAGTAAATCAGATATGAGTTTTGGGAAATAAACGAGATGCATATACTCGATGCTGAATGTGGAAACCTAACTGTATAGAGACGGGAAGAGTAGATATTCTACCTGGGTACTCCGAGAAACAGATGCAGCACTCATGCAAGTTGTTAAGGAAATTCTCAAGGGTTTGCTCATCATTATACCTCCTCAGTGAAGGAATATCAACATCTGGGGAGACACTTTCTGAAACTGCACGCCTGTCTCCAGTATGCTTTACTCCATAAGGACCGAGTAAGATCTCTTGATGAATCCCGAGGTGAGGAAGAGAAAAGCTTTGAAGCCAGTCAATCCATTGGTACATAACTTCTTGCCCCTGTTGTTCCATCCATATCGAATCCAGAACCGAACAAAGACTCGAAATTCTAAGGGAATCCAGCCACTGAACAGAAATGGTGAAATGTGGAGGTTTGTGACTTGGGTACGATTTGGGGAAAGAGCAGGTCAAAACAATTGGCGGAACAAACTGGACTCTAAATGAATATGAGAACTCGTCTGCAGTACTTGTTGTGCTTGTCGTCTGCATCTTACTATTTGATGAAGGAAGTTTTGTGGTTATGGTAAGTTCATCAGGAATTTTAGGTTCAATACGAATCTGCAACATATAAATGCCCATCAGAATCTTCAATTTTGTTCAATCATCTAACTAAGTTACCAATTTATTGGTGCACTGAGTGAGTAAGTAACCTCGAAAGATCTCAAGCCTCTCTGCCTGTCCAGAATGATGACATTTTCTCCATAAATGGACTCCATTGCAAGTAACTACAGGGAAGTAATCAAAGAACAAAGCCACGGAGATGTTACACGCAATTTTTTCATAGATCAAACCAGCAAACAAACCAGAATAACTATCCTTCTGAAATTCTTCTCATCTTCTGTATCTATTGCTTTGTGTTCTGTTTCCAAAATTCTTCTGAAATTATTCCTATAGAAGTTTGGATGTAACATAGTGCATCATGCCAATGGGAAGAAGGATAAATCGTCATTCTACACGCGATTCATGCCTAATCTCCCTTATTCGTACTGTGATTGCCTAGCAGACTTCCAACATGACGTTAGGCACACATAAAGAAGCAACTATTTCATCCAAATTCTAGTTCCAAGATTCACAGGCCATAAACAAATTCGACCATTCACAGGAAGAACTCCTAACAAGCAAGCCACAATCATAATCAACATTTGTTCAATTCAAACGATTCACAAATTTTACCTCGTCCTCCTGTAACTGATCGTTGATTCTGAACTGATCAGAAGACAACTCGGGCTCTTCCGCCCCAAGCTGCAACTCTTCCAATACCGTCATAACGTCAATAACCACGCCGCAGCCGGAGCCATCACCGACTTCATTCTTACTCTCACAAACCCTGTTATCTGGCTCCAACAAGTTCTCCTCAGCTGGGGATTCAACTGAACTAGGCAAACTCGGCTCATTTCGCGGCGAAACCGGTCCATACGTATCCGAATTCGAAGGACCTGCCTCGGCGACGCCGTGGTGGACGTTGACCGGCTCGTACTTCTTGACGGGCGACTTTTTGGGCGCCTTCCGGCGGCGCGGTGGGCGTTTGTGAGGGGGTTTAGAGAATTCAGGAGGACAAATCGACGGGAGATGAGAGGAATCGAAGCTGCCTCCTCTCGACATGTTGCCTCTCCCTTCCGCTGTTCTAGCTGTCCGGCTGGCGGGAGAGGAGAACTCGAGCAGGTAAATTGATCCTCGTTTTTGACGGCGAGATATGGCGGCGATCACCTCTCGCCGTTCAGTTATTGAGGAACCTTGGCGGTGGAGAGAGCTTCGCGTGCGGGGAACACAGAGACGCTGAACCGTAAACGGCGATTGAACTCGGAGTCGGAATATATCAACGACCGCCGGGGATCAGCTAGGACGAGGAGATTGGAGGTAATTTAGGTCTCTATATACATTTCCAGATTAGCTGAACAAAAAACCATTCCGACGGTTATTAATTCTTTTTCTGGTAGGAGCGTATGACACGTGTACTAGAAGAGTAGTTAGGAAAAGGGTTAGTCGGTCATTTTATAAGCCCGACTGCGCGAGCCATTGAATTTTTGGCGGCAGGCCCATGGATATTCAGCGGGTCAAGCCCAATCCGTTTTACCGGCACAGACAAAAAGGGAAAACAGGGTCATCGAGAAACAGGCTCCATCTCACGTGGGCACCGGAGCGTGCCGCCCACGGGATAACACGGCACGATTAGAGCACGGCACGATTAGAGCACGACACGAACACGAAATAAATGGGTCAGTCTGGCACGAGCACGAATAATTTATGGGCCGTGTCGGGCCTAAACTTCATGGGCACGAGCACGACTATATAAGTGGGTCATGTCGGGCCTAATATTTTCGAGACTTTATTGAGTATAAGAACGGACATGACACGAAAATAATATTTATTTGATAGAAAATAAATATGAAAAGAATTATAGGTTATTACAAAACACAAGTAGAAAAATAATTATTTGTTGTTGTAAGAAGTGCCATAAAGATATACACGTAATTACTAACATAAGTAAAAATAGACAAATAATTAAACAAAGCCAAATCACACTCGCTATACTTCCAATTTTCTTTTCCTCCTTATTTGTTACTTTTCTCAAACATTATCGGTTAATACTATCTTCCCCGTCCAATTTTCACCTGCCTTTTCATTCTCTCTTTTGTTTTCGTCCTTTGCATTAAACACAAATATGAGCATGGCACGAGCACGAATAAGCACGACACGATTCGAACCGTGCCCGAGCCTGGGCCGGGCCTAGCAAAGTTAACAAATAGGCTTGCATGGCACGACACAGCACGAAAACTGAAGGGCCGTGCCAAGCACTGCACGAAATAAATGGGCTCGAAGCGTGCCCGTGCCGTGCCGGCCCAAGCACGACCCAGCGCCCATGTACGAACTCACCTTCTTGGCTGCTTTGCTTGGTGCTGAAGACAACCTGCAATGTCTTTTGCCAAAGCATGTGTTCTCGGTCCAATACTTCCCAGAAAAATGCATTCGTAAATGAGGTAATGGATGACATCAATTACAATTAGGCAATAGCAAAACCAGAGTAGTATCCGCTCAACCCTCTATCCCGCTGTATGCTGCTTGCATTTCTTCGGCCCAAAATGCTCGCTGCTGCGCTTCACAACCTTGCGACACAAGTAACAGTAGTGCGTCTGGCACGCCCAGCAGAATACGTGATTGTTATTGTCTGTCTGCGCGATATAATGATAATACAAACGTATAAGCCAGGCATCATCAGCAAAAAAAAAAAAAACACGAACCAAACACCAGGAATCAAGCATCCACCTTCACATTCTCTTGACTACACAAAGGGCATTTGTGCCCTCGACCGAGGTTGACTTCAGATCGGAGTCGACGCAAAGCCTGACGGCCATTCGTCCGCTCCTGGTCGAGTTCAGATCGGAGTCGACTCACAGCCCGACGGCCATTCGTCCGCTCCTGCCACTGGTCCGGTGATACTGTTTGGAATAATCTACAGGCTCCACCGCTGAGTGGTTGATATGCTGTACCAGTCAGTTTGGTTCCTAAATTTTACATACTTCAAGGGCAAAGAGGGATAAAGAACATTGATTTTCTGACCTGAAGTGTTCATATCCGTTAATGGGTTTGTTACATAGGTAACAAAAGTACTTCCCACAGCTCCCGCAGACCATCTTGTTGCAGCCATCGATTTTTGAGATAGCCATTTTACAATGTGGACAAATCTTGCAAACACGAGCCACCTCCATCTCGCTCATGATTTCGTTGATCTTATTTTCCAGCTCCCTTATGATGTCGTTGATCTTATTTTCCAGCTCCAGCTGCCTCTGAGCCCCCGTGATTCGAGAAGCAGACTCGAGGCTCGCCTATGGAGCCACAATGGAAGGAAAGCACGAGGCATTAGTTTCCATCAACAATCAGAAAAGAGGGAAAAGAAAGCGCTAAGAGAAGCTTACCTCCAGTAGTTGAAGCTTCGACTCTGGGGATATGCAAGGTTCGCCCACATGGCGTGCACTCTTGCAGAGAGAGCAAAAGCTAAAGAAACACTTGGAACACTGAGGCTGAGCAAAGTGGTCCTCATCTTCAATGCAGACGAATTCACATCTCGGGCAATACACAGCATCCGACATACAATCCAGCGTCTTCTGCAGCATGAGAGACTCGTAGCGAACATATTTTTCATCGCCGAGCAAATGTTTCAATGTACCAGGTGGTATCATCCCCCCACATTTTGACTCAGGACAGAGGAGTTTATTCACGGTGCCTTCTGAAACGTGCAAATCGGAGTAAGTCCCGATGCAGCTCCGGCAGAAGAAATGCTGACATGGTAGCCTGACAAAGTCAATGCCTGGCTCAATGAAATCACGTACACACACACAGACACGCAAAATAAAAGTGATGGGTCACTCTACAAAAATCGTTCCTGGTAGGAAAAACGCTTAAAGGTTAGTGACGTGGGATACAAGGTATCTATTTATCTGCCTACCTGGGTGCTCAGAGAAACAAATGCAGCACTCATGCAAGTTGTTGAGGAAACTCTCCCGGACCTGCTCATCATTATACCTCATCAACAAAGGAATGTCGGAATCGGGGGAGATGCTTTCTGAAACTGCACGCCTGTCGCCAGTAGGCTTTATTCCATAAGGACCGAGTATGATCTGTTGATGGATGCCAAGGTGAGAAAGTGAAGAGCTTTGAAGCCAGTCGATCCATTGGTACATAATTTCTTGCCCTTGTAGTTCCACCCATATTGAATCCAACACAGAACACAGACTGGAAATTTTAAGTGAGTCCAACCACTGAACAGAAATGGTGAAACGTGGAGGTTTGTGGCTTGGGTATGATGCAGGGAATGAGCAGGTCAACACGATTGGCGGAAGAAACTGGACCCCGAACGAATATGAGAATTCGTCTATGGAACTCGTGCTTGCCATCTCCAGCTTATTACTCGTCGTACAAAGTTTCGTGGTTATGGTAAGTTCATCACGAATTTTAGGTTCAATGTGAATCTGCAACATAAACCTGTCATCAGGATCTTCAATTTATTCAATCAGCCAACACAGGTATTGATTCATTCGTCTATGAGTGAGTAGTGAGTGAGTAAGTAACCTGGAAAGTTCTCAAGCCTCTCTGCCTGTCGCGAATGATGACATTTTCTCCATAGATGGACTCCATTGCTAGCAGCTGCAGGAAATTTATGCAAAAAGAAAAGAAGCCATGGAGATTGTCAAGAGAACAGTTCTCATTATCTCTAGCTAGTGAACAAGCCAGAACAACCATCCTTCTGTTTCCATTGATTTGAGTTCTGTTCTCGTCAATTGGAGAAGCTAAATCGTAGTTCAATGCACGAATTAACATTCCGAATCGCCCCGAGTTTTACAGTCACTACACTGGTAGACTTCCAGCAGGAGCACATAATCAATCATGTTGAAACACAAGTAGCACCAAAGCCCAAGGAAACAACTATTTCATTCAAATTCTTGTCCCCAGGATTCACAGGTAATCATGATTTGTTACCTCATTCTCCTGCAACTGATCGTTGACTCTAATTTGATCAGCAGACAACTCCAGCTCCTCCTGCGCCGCCTCCGCTAACGCTAACTCTTCCAATACACTCATAACATCAACCGCGCCGCCACCGCCGGAACCATCACAAATTTCGTACTTACTCTCACTAACCCTGTTATCTGTCTCCAACAATTTCTCCTTCTCAGCTGGGGATTCACCTGAACTAGGCGAATTCGGAGGACCTGCCTCGGCGACGCCGTGGTGAACAACTACTGGCTGAGATGGCAGTTTGGGAGAAATCGACGAGATACGAGAGGAATCGAGGCTAGGAATTTTGCAGGTTCCTCTCGGCATGTTTCCTTTTGATTTTCGAATTGTCCTGCCGGCGGGAGGAGAGAACTCGAGCAGGTAAATTTGCTTCTTTGTCTTTTGGGCGACGGCCGCGTTGGGGTTTGGGTCAGTGGGTAAACATGGGGGCGGAGGGTAGTTCGAAATCGCTCTCAAAGTTGGCGGCGATTTAACTCGGAATGTATCAACGGCGCCGGCGATCATCTAGCCGTGAAATTGGAGGGGGTTGAGGTATTTATAGATTTGCAGATCAGCTGAACTATTGCGACGACGATCCTTATTTTGGGAGGAAAACGTAGGACACGTTTTAGTTCGAGTTCAACACGAGAAAGGTATTTCTAATGGCATTTGAGATTTAACGGGTTAATTGCATGATTGGTCAATGAGATTACAAAAAACGTTCATGTTTGGTCATTGAAAATATTTAAATTCAATCTTGGTCACTCAAATTAGTTAAATGGTTCAAGTTTGGTCACTCTCCGTCCAACTCCGTTAAATATGTCTAATGTGGCAGTCAACCCTCAAAGTTGACCGTTAACTCGGTGACGTGGCAATTAAAAAATAATAAATAAAATAAATTTTAATATTCTACCATTTCTAACTCATTTTCACAATAAAGTAAAATAAAAAAAATTATTATAATGCGGACAAAAAAAAAATGGTTTCGTCGACTGCGATTTCCTCTACCTGGCCGACATCAAGGAGCTCCGCGATCTGGCCGACGATAAGTACGCCATCATGTGCGTCCACCATGACTACACCCCGAAGGAAACCACAAAGATGGATGGCGCCGTCCAGACAGTTTACCCGAGGAAGAACTGGTCCTCCATGGTTCTCTACAACTGCGGGCACCCGAAGAACAAGGTGTTGACTAGGGCTGGAAGTTTGGTACCGGTATTTGGGATATACCGAATACCGTACCGAATTTGTCTATATTTGGTATTACCGAATACACGTATTATTTTGTGGGATTGGGATTGGGATTGAATTTCAATTGTTATTCGGTATTAGGGATTACGGGATTGGGATCGGTATATACCGAAATACCGATCAATACCGAAATATAAGCTAGTGTGTATTTTATCCTCTCAACTAGACTCTCTCATTCACTACTACGCGACCCTCAACCACCAAAAGTGTCATTTAATTATAAATAGATCATTACATTACTATTTCACACTAATATTAGTCGTCTCTCAACCTCAAATTCGTCAAATTAAAGATTACCAATTACAAGAACTTGAGATGTTAGCTCTAGGCAACTCAAGACTATTTGCTTAGTCTCTATGCCCTAAATTAAACAATAAAATCTAATTTATATATTTAATTATTAATTGCAAAGTTAATTAATTATGTATTCGATAATACCGATTGGGATACCGAGGTACCGATTGGGATACCGAAATTATTTAGGGATTGGGATTGGGATACCGAAATTATTTAGGGATTGGGATTGGGATTGATTTTAGGGTGTAATTCGGTATTCGGTATTTCGGTATTTGGTATTGGGATACCGATACCGTACCGATTTCCACCCCTAGTGTTGACCCCGGAAGTTGTGAATAGCCAGACGGGTGCTTACCTCCACAGGTTCCAGTGGCTTGATGATGGAGAAATTGGGGAAGTCCCCTTTGTTTGGAACTTCTTTTGTTCTGCTTCTCTTGAACCAGAGGTATAAAAGGAAGAACAAGTAGTATACTAATTAGTAATTACCCAGACAGTGACGGATTTGGACCAGAACCCAGATTCAGAAATGCCCCCAATCGATCTCCAGGGACGGGATTGACGGAGAAAATGTCCAGCGGGCAAGTGAACCGGGTGGGATCCGAGAGGGAGATCCCGAATCGAGGGAAAAACAGGGGAAGAGGAGTCGAATAAGTAACCCGCAATAAATGGATGGAGAAAATGAAGGATTGATTTTGAGAAGTTGATTTGATTGGCTGATAGAGTTGAGGTCATTGCGCGGAAGAACTAAAGAGTAAATGCAGACAAAGGAAGATTTTAGAGGAGACGCAAGAATTGTGATTATAATAATTTTTTTTTATTTTACTTTATTGTGAAAATGAGTTGGAAATGGTAGAAGATTAAAATTTATTTATTTATTATTTTTTAATTGCCACGTCACCGAGTTAACGGTCAACTTTGAGGGTTGACTGCCACATCAAACATATTTAACGGAGTTGGACGGAGAGTAACCAAACTTGAACCATTTAACTAATTTGAGTGACCAAGATTGAATTTAAATATTTTCAGTGACCAAACATGAACATTTTTTGTAATCTCAATGACCAACCATGCAATTAACCCGAGATTTAACCATAAACTAATGATATACGAAATTGACATTGGATCCAAAAAGTTAGAGATATGATGATATTATCGTTTAATTGTTTTATATTGTTAAAAGTTTTTTTTTATTAAATTAGAGTCGGAAATATTGTTCTGTCAGATCGTTAATATGGTACAATTTTATAAACACTGCACTAAACTAAACAATAAATAATTTTTTACATGATACCAATTAGTTATAATTTCATAATGGATTATGAAATAATCATGTAAAAATTTGGCGTTTCATTTCGTGGTTCAACAAATACACTAGGAACCCGTTTAGTATCATTTTAGTTTTAGTTATCTATTTTTACATGTGAAAACAAAGATCGAAACACATTTTTCGTTACATTTTTCATTTGTTGTTGAGGCAATAGGAGTTGGCAACCCAACAAAAATTATGTGAAAACTGTGAAACAACTTAAAGTCATAATAAGAATTTTTTTAAAAAAAAACTTAAAATAGCTTCCTTGTTGTTTTCAAAACCTATTTCTTTTGAGATTCTATCCGTTGTTGTAATAATTTCACTCAAATAAATATGATCAAATCTCACTAAATTAAACTTGCTTTGTACATTTTTTTCTATTAATTTTCGTATAACTCATACCCTAGACATTATTGTCAATATTATTCTCATATATTTTTCTTTCTCAATTTCTCCAAACTCATCATATCACAATATTTCTTCCATTATTTTATAATTTTGTCTTATTCTCAATATTAATACTAAGTGGGGTCCAATTAAGTAACTAAACACACAAAAGTGAAAATTTTCATAATTTCTTATAATTACCAACTAAACATGTTACTCTTTTACATTTTCTTGACGTTGTGGTTATACCTTTGCTGTCACAACACGACAACCACAATAGCAACAAAATTGCACTAAACCATGCCTAGGATTCACTAACAACAGTTGGTCTTGGATAGGGTCAATAACCTCTTGTTATGCACTTGTGCATAATCATATTTGGGCCTTTGATATTAAATGTGGCAAGGTCTTACTAGTGAGAGTAATTCTTACATTTAATCGGCTTGTATCTTGTTGTTTGAAGCTGAATCTAAAAAAAAAAAATTGTACAGATGGAACGATATCGTTATGATCTACAAAATGGTACTTATTCTCAATATATTTCGAGTAAACTTTGTGTACCACCCAAACCGCTCGTTACTACCCATATACCACTCTATACCACCTTTGTTTTCACTCAAATTTTGAAAAATTATGCACAAGAGAGACATTTTCATCGTGATCTATCAGATCTACAAATTTTCGAAGAAATTTTTTTGGACCAAATATACCACCATGGCCATGGTATAAGGTAGTAATTGGTGTAGACGGTGATGAAAGCTGGTAAGTAATAGTTAGTATATTCCTACTATCACATATACAATCATTTTATGCTTTATATATTAATACCCCTGTGGTATATTAACATTACTGCCATGGTATAGACTGGTAATATTTATCTCAATTTTTTGTTCCAAAATATATTAAACTGAAGGGTTATAGGTATAATATGTCCCTCTACTATGTTATTTTATCAAACATGCCCCTCTACTATTTTTTACATCAAACATGCCCCTAATGTCTATTTTTATCCAAACTTATTTCAGATTCTTTTATATTATCCAAACCTATCGAAATACTAAAAATTAGCCAAATGTTAACTCCCAGTTAGCAATTTTGTTAGTAATATTGACTTGGCAACCTGGTATTGACTTGGAAGAGACTCATGAAGGTCAACATTCTAAAATTTTAGTATTTTAACTAAGAAAAGAGTTACAAAATTATTAACGATAACGTAAAAATGACTAATATTTTGATACATTACGAAAGATTTGGATAATTAATAGAATTTTAATAGGTTTTGATAATATAAAAGAATATGAAAAAGGTTTTGATAAAAAATAGACATTACCCAAAAAATTATCAAACATGCACTTTTGTTAAAATTTCCATTGAAAAAATCCTCAATCATGGTTGAACCGATATTTAGATGACCCTACATCAGTAAATGAGCGACGAAATGTCAGTTTTGTCCCCTATTTTTATTTTGTTGGGTCTCGTCAAAGTGAAAATATTAAAATTCTTTGACTATACAAAGGAACAAAAAAAATTATAAAGTCAAATTATTATGGATAATTTAGACATTTGTGTCGCCCAAATCAAAGTTCAATCATGGTTAACGATTTTTTGGATGGAAATTTTATAAGAAGGGTATGTTTGATAATGTTTTCAAAGTAGAAGGGCATGTTTGATGTAAGAAATAGTAGAGGGACATGTTTGATAAAACGACATAGTAGAGGGGTATATTATACCTATAACCCTAAACTGAATATTATTTTAAATAGAACAATTAATATAATTTTCTATGAAAAAAATAAGGACTTTGCCACGGTGACTTGGACAAAACGGTCGACAAGTAAGTATATGTGGTAGACTGAATACGCTATTTTCATTTTGCTACGTTCAACAAGTGGTCAATTGTTTCTAAAAAATTATCGATCTCACATCAACTTTTTGTATATGATCCATTTTGTTTGTAATTGCTTAACTTCCTTTTGCATATTGATATATGATTCTGATTCCGATTTTACAGGATGGATAATGAAGAAACAAACAAGACGATGGTACTAAGAATTCTCGAGCATGAAGAAACAAACATGGACGATGAAGATGACATGCATAGAGGGACGATAAAGAATTTAGGGATGTTGAAGAAACTAATGAAAACAATGACAAGGCATACGAAGAGCTCAGGAACAAGCCAATTTTGTAGGCAGATGTTCAACTCCACCGGTCACCCTCAATGCTATATGGGATCACATGACTAACATGTGACCTAAATGAAAATATAAATTGTTGAAGGACTTGAATAGGAAAAATGAAAGTTCAGCGACTACATTGTCCATTAACTCCTTAAAAACAAGCGATTAGAACCCGTGTGAGAACCAAAAAACAAGAACAAAAAATGCAGAAAAGTTTCTGGTTATAAAACTCAAACTATAAAAAACTAAAAAGAAAGACAAATTGACAATATATCACAATACAACGATATATCATATTATTTACACGATATGTTTGTCGGATTTATGAACTTAATCGAAAATGATTTAAAGACTTCACAGTCACACAGCAACCCCCGAGATGTAATCAAGCAACTCTTGCTCTGGAATTCCACAACTTGATTAGAGAATATAAATAATCGAATGTCCAAACATAAAGTAAAGGCGCTAATGAGCTAATGATGACATCAATTACAATTGGGCAATAACAAAAATAGAGTAGTGTATTGTATCCGCTCGACCCTCTATCCCTCTGTATGCTGCTTGCATTTCTTCGGCCCGAAATGCTCGCTGCTGCGCTTCACAACCTTGCGGCACAAGTAACAGTAGTGCGTCTGGCACGCCCAGCATAATACGTGATTGTTATTGTCCGTCTGCACGATTTAATGGTAATACAATCCATAAGCCAGGCATCATCAGAGGAAAAGAAAAAAAGAAAAAAACCAAACACCAAGAATCAAGCATCCACCTTCACATTCTCTTGACTACACAAAGGGCATTTGTGACCACGACCGAGATTGAGTTCAGATCGGAGTCGACCCACAGCCTGACGGCCATTCGTCCGCTCCTGCCACTGCTGCTGAACCGATGACACCGTTGGGAATAACTCACAGGCACCATCCCTGAGTGGTTGATATGCTGTACCAGTCAGTTTGGCTCCTAAATTTTACATACATCAAGGGCACAGAGGGATAAAGAACATTGATTTTCTGACCTGAAGTGTTCATATCCGTTAATGGGTTTGTTACATAGGTAACAGAAGTACTTCCCACAGCTCCCGCATACCATCTTGTTGCAGCCATCGATTCTCGAGATCGCCATTTTGCAATGTGGGCAAATCTTGCAAACACGAGCCACCTCCCTCTCGCTCATGATTTCGTTGATCTTATTTTCCAGCTCCAGACGCCTCTGAGCCCCCGTGATTCGAGAAGGTGACTTGAGGCTCGCCTATGGAGGGGACAGAATGGAAGGAAAGCAGGCGGCATTAGTTTCCATCACAATCCCAAAAGAGAGGAAAAGAAAGGGAGGGGTTAAGAGAAGCTTACCTCCAATAGTTGAAGCTTCGACTCTGGGGATAGGCAAGGTTCACCCACATGGCGTGCACCATTGCAAAGAGAGCAAAAGTTGAAATAACATTTGGAGCACTGAGCAAAATGGTCCTCGTCTTCAATGCAAACGAATTCACATCTCGGGCAATACACAGCATCCGACATACAATCCAGCGTCTTCTGCAGCATCAGAGCCTCGTAGCGATCGTATTTTTCATTGCCGAGCAACTGTTTCAATATACCAGGTGGTATCATCCCCCCGCATTTCAACTCCGGGCAGAGGAGTTTATTCACGGTGCCTTCTGAAACGTGCAAGTCGGAATACGTCCAGATGCAGTTCTGGCAGAAGAAATGCTGACATGGTAGCCTGACAAAGTCACCGCCTGGTTCAATGAAATCACACAGACACCAAAAAAAAAAAGGTGATGGGTCACTCTACAAAAATCATTCCTGGCAAGACATAAATGCATAAGGTTAGTGACGTGGGGTAGAAGGTATCTATTAATCTATCTACCTGGGTGCTCAGAGAAACAGATGCAGCACTCATGCAAGTTGTTGAGGAAATTCTCAAGGACCTTCTCATCATTATACCTCCTCAGTAAGGGAATGTCGGAATCCGGGGAGATGCTTTCTGAAACTGCACGCCTGTCTCCAGCATGCTTTATTCCGTAAGGACCAAGTATGATCTGTTGATGGATTCCAAGGTGAGAAAGTGAAGAGGTTTGAAGCCAGTCGATCCATTGGTACATGACTTCTTGCCCTTGTAGTTCCATCCACATGGAATCCAACACAGAACACATACCGGAAATTTTAAGTGAGTCCAACCACTGAACAGAAATGATGAAATGTGGAGGTTTGTGGCTCGGGTAAGATGTAGGGAATGAGCAGGTCAACACAATTGGGGGAAGAAACTTGACTCTGAATGAATATGAGAATTCGTCTGTTGAACTTGTGCTTGCCATCTCCATCTCACTACTCGTTGTACAAAGTTTCGTGGTTATGGTAAGTTCATCAGGAATTTTAGGTTCAATGTGAACCTGCAACATAAACATGTTATCAGAATATTCAATTCATTCAATCATCCAACACAGGTATCGATTCATTCGTCTATGAGTGAGTAGTGAGTGAGTAAGTGACCTGGAAAGTTCTCAAGCCTCTCTGCCTGTCCAGAATGATGACATTTTCTCCATAGATAGACTCCATTGCAAGCAACTGCAGGAAATTTATGCAAAAAGAAAAGAAGCAATGGAGATTGTCAAGAGAAAAGTTTACATTGAGCCAAGCTAGTGAACAAACCTTCCACTGATTTGAATTCTGCTACCCAAATTAAGCATGGATGGGAACTTACTACATCATATGCTAATTGGAGAAGGCGAAATCGTATAGTTCTATACACGAATTAACATTCGGAATCGCATTTAGTTTTACCGTGACTACCCTGGTAGACTTCCAGCAGGACTCCAAAGCCATTGGCACATAATGAATCAAGTTGAAACACAATTAGCACCAAAGCCATTGGCGCAGGAAGGAAGCAACTATTTCATTCGAATTCTAGTTCTCAGGATTCACAGGCAATAAACAAAATTCAACAATCCACCATCAACAACAAGCCAATCATAATTTGTTACCTCATCCTCCTGCAACTGATCGTTGACTCTAATTTGATCAGCGGACAATTCCAGCTCCTCCGCCGCCGCAAACGCCAACTCTTCCAATACACTCATAACATCAACCGCGCCACCGCCGTAATGATCACAAACTTCGTTCTTACTCTCAATTACCTTGGGAGCCTTCTGCCGACGCGGTGGCCGTTTGGGAGATATCGACGAGATATGAGAGGATTAGAGGCTAGAAATTTTGCAGGCTCCTCTCGATATGTTGCTTCTTCCTTTTGATTTTCAATTTGTCCCGCCGGCGGGAGAAGAGAAGTCCAGCAGGTAAATTTTGCCTTATGTTTTTGGCGACGGCCTACAGGTTGGCGGCGATTTAGCTCGGAAGTATCAACGGCGCCGGCGATCATCCAGCCGTGAAATTGGAGAGGGTTGAGGTATTTATAGATTTCCAGATCAGCTGAACTATTGCGACGGCGGTCCTTATTTTGATAGGAAAATGTATGACACGTGTAATGTTCTTCTATACACAAAGTAATTAGGAATAAAAAAAGGTTAGTTCGAGTTTAACACGGGAAAGGTATTATCTATTATCTAATGGCACTAGCTTTTTACCCGACCCGTTGGTCGGATGAATTTAATTTTATTTATTATATTTTTATATTAATTTATTTTTTTATATTTTCAAATAATTTGGGATCGTCTAAATAATTTAATAGTGGGTTGAAACTAATATTTTTGCGAATTATTGATTGTAACATTAGTTAGTTTATAAGTATTTGTATTGATCATGCTATCGCTTACTGTTGTCTATATATTTTTTACATTTAAGAAAAAAATCACTTCCTATTGTTAGAATAAATTACTTAAAAAATATTTCTTCATAAAATTTGATATTATTCACTTAATTTTCTATTATATCCATGAAAATAAAATAATTAAGCATTGAAGTGTTAATTATAAACTCCAAGGGATTTTCCCTATTAGTAATTTGGAGGGATAAATATTTATCAAATAAAGGATTCAAATTTTATGGTCGACAACCATTAGGTACTAATTGAGAAAATACAAAATTATTGACTAATAATTCACTTTTAAATAATATATATCTCCAAAAGCAGTTGTGGTTGTTAATAGCTAACATTAATGTATACGGATAGTACAATTGTATTATAATGGACATATCTGAAATATTCCAATTATTTCTTCAAAATTTTAATTAAATAAGGCACTCTATAGTTCAAACATACAATCATTTGTTGTGAAAATTAAGTTTCTGAAAAAGATTCATGATTTTAGGAAATCAATATGGATTTTTTATAATTGATTTTGGTGTTTCCTTTGATATCTAAAAGTCAACACTTATAGATTTGTCTACTATGTCATTTGAAAGAATCTAAAAATTTATAACAAATATGTACCACCAACAAATAAAAACTTTTTTGTCAAAAAATTGTGTGCCCATAAATTTGTTCTTAGCTTTGTGCTCGGCTTTTAGCTCGATAGTATAACATATGCTAAATTTACGACAGTCCTTGTGTCTGCCACCTATTTCATAGCATATTAGGTTTCGAGTATCCACAAATATTAGTACGCTTTCAACAATTATGTTTATAGTTACACGTATACTAACATTATGAAGTGAAAATTTACAACAATAAATAACTATAATAAAGAAAACTAATTAAAAAGAATACCATCCGTAAAGCTCAAGAATTATTAGTGAATTAGTTGGTAATCTATTATCCTCTTGCAAAAAAATGGACAATTACATTATGTTCATCGCTATTTTTGGAAGGTCAAATGATCAACAATAAAAGTCGGGGAATTTCAAGAAGATTCCCAAAGATGTTTCCCTCCCTCCAGGCAAATGATCGACTTTGCTTTTGCTAGTAGAGAATGGAGCTGTTATACCTGCATAAAACAATGTCTCTTGAAATAGTGTTTATTTTCAACAATTTGCACAATTCCAAATTGATTGATAGGTCAATGCGATCACATATTTTATTGACTTATCTGTTGATCATTATAATTAGAAGCAACAAATAAAATGAAAAGCATAGTGATAAAGATGACTATTAATACCATAGACCGATAGACGCATCCCTCTTCGCTACTTTCTGTTGGCAACTATGGAAAAATAGAAACCTCTGGGCCTTCGAGAGACTATTGGCGCCGGCAACCCAGTTAGCCTACCAAATCCGGCAAATGCGAGTGCAGATTGATCAATCTTCCAGGAGGATTGGGCAGGTTCTCGGGGAGGCTACAGAGCGGGTGGAAAGGGGAAATAGAATAGGGTTTGGGATTTTCACAAAAAGGCTACAATTTCCCCTTTAGTAGTTGTTCTGGGCGTCGCTCACCAAACTGAAACCGCGTCTCCGAGTGCCTAGGTGCCTAGATCAATTGCCCAGAGCTAGACTGGGCGATTTCCTCCTGCCCAGCTATTAATCGCGCCTAGGCGAGAGATTAATCGCGTCTTCTTGAACACTGAATAAAAGTGGACCAAACAAAGACATTACATCAAACTCATTTAAGTTCCATCTTAACACAGTATCGGAGGTATGTACTATTATTATACAAATGATCTTACGCTCTCAATTAGGAACTAAACGAAGGTTAAATGCTTGATTGGCAAACTAAATCGATGAACCTAGTGATCTTAAAGAAAAAATTAATGATCACATGATTTCTTGGACCAAACTACTAAAGTAAAAAAAGAAAAAAGAGACCGTACATTAGCATAAGAACTCAACAAATTACTTATAAGAACTAATGACATTAGGAAAATGTAAACTCAAACCGTTCTTCCGAAGGTCATGGATTAAATCATTAGTTGTCGATTACATAGCCTAAACTGCAGGTTATATCCAAAATAGAGGCAATTTAGAAACAAAAAAGTTAGATAAGAAAGCCGTGAAACACAGAAAAATTGAGTGAACAAAGTGGGAAGTATTGCTTTCAATTAAGCTTGATTATGTTGACATAAAGCAGACACACATTGACGTTGGAAACCTAAACAAAAAGCTTAAAAAGTGGCAAGAGAATTCTTCCCTTGAGGTTCAAATATAGCCTACCTATATGAGCAGAGTCAAGTAATTACCATGATTCCATTTTACACATACCATCTCACAACCAACTGCTGCTAATGCTCTGGTCCGTTCCAAACCTCATCTGCTCATATCTCCAATACCATATCACGAAACCAAGAATTATACACAACTAAAAGATCCAATAAGGAGAGTAACTTAGCATGGAACTTTGTGATGGGGGCAAATTCTATGGTCACTATTAAGTTGTGCAAATTATATCACCTCCTCCATTTTACCTCTGCAAAGCTCACTACTTCCAGTAGTTTCTCACAGAACCAGCTACCGTCCTAATCCCTTCCTTCCTTCCTTCCTTCCCAGGGTCAGAGTGTGAAAAATGGCGTCCATCTCCGCCACAACCACAGCTTCTTCCTTCATCCATGCATCTCTCCGTCGCAACCCCTCTCTAGGGGTTTCCTCCGCCCCAGTTCTCGGTGAGTACTCTTGACGCCCCCTCCCCTGAAATTCACAATTACCTCTGGCTTTTATCAATTCAGCTTGGGGGAACCAAGAAATTGAATCGATTGGGCGATATGCAGGGCTGCCGTCGATGGCGAAGAGAGGGAGAGTGGTGAAGTGCTCGGCGGAAGGAAACGGAAGCAACGGCAGCGGGTGGGAGAAGAAGGGGATGATGAGCGCTTCGCTGATGACGGCGGTGGCCGCAGCAGCTGCGTCGAGCCCAGCGGCGATGGCTCCTCAACGGATGCGAGTAGCTGGAGAGATTAGTAGCGACCTTCTAGAGGCTGAAGCAGAGAAGAAAGAAGAAGCAGGGTTCGTGGCGGCGGGGGAGACGGTGGTGGCGGCGGCAGTAGTTGTGCTTCTCGCCGGAAGGGAAAGCCTCGATCGTCGACAACCTCTTCGCCACGGAGATCGTTCGCTGCACTCCCAAACGCGATCTCCCCAGTCGCAGCAGAAGCGGGCCGTCACTGCTTTCCGCCATTGACCACCAAAACGTCTGGTCGTCTTCCCATGAACTCAGCAACAGCCGGCCGTCATCGCCTTCCTCCACTGAACACGAAACCGTGCAGCCCTCTTACCAGAATTTTCCGATGGAAACTGATTCTCCTCCTGTCCTACGGGTAGGCGAAAGGATAACGTGGGAACACAGTAGAAAAGGTGGGCTTATTTCAGCCAAACGAAAATTAAATGAAAAATAAATAATAACTAAATGATAACGTGGGAAACCAGGAGAAAAAGGTGGGTAGTGGACGATTCTTAGTTCTGCAATCTGGCGGGGAGTTCTATTTTTTTCCCGCTCAACACCCTGCCACATCAGCTTCCTAAAATCACTCTATGGACAGGAAAATTTGAATGGGGGTGGCAGTTTTACTTTTCAGCTATAAATTATACTGTTGATGATTTGAGATTTAACAATAAAACGAATGATGTACGAAACTCACATTTTCCCCTCAGCCGCCCGTCTCCCAACTCGTAAACGGCGGCGAGCGATCACCGCGGCGGGATTGTTTTGGAGTTTGGACGGTATTTCCTGTAAACTGATAGCGGCGGCCAGTTGGCCTCATCCATTTCCCTTTCTAGCTTCTGCTGAACATCTGCAACTTACCAGCTAGAGATTTCTTTCAAAGGTATAAAGCTCGCATTGCTGTTCACTGTTACAGTCCTTGGTTATGGAGCGTCCGCTGAGTTTCTCAGAATATAACTACTTGGACTGGCTTTGCTGTTGATGCGTATTCTTTCTCTGTCTCGAACATGTCTACGGAGACCTTGTTGGCTTGAATCGGCTTATTCCCGTCTCCTCTGCACTACTGGCGTCGGATGAACACCAGGTGTTCGACGTTTTGCCCGTTACTGAGAACAACACTGCCGTTGTAGAGAAATCATTTGTATCCTGCAAGGAGGTTAGTGATCAAGAGTCGTGTAAGTTGTTTCCGTTTGTTGCTATGGCTGTGAAGACTTTGAATTTGGGGGCGGTGAGGGAAGGCAAGTTTGTTCAGGCAGTGAGGTTCCATGGTTATGCCCATTCAATTCGTGCGTTTAAAATGGTTATAGAGGTGTTTGCAGTAGCGGGGCTAGAGAACAACGTTCAATTCTTGCTTAGAGATATTGTTTCATATCATCGGGGGGTTGATTTGGATGTTTTGGGGCTGTCTCAGAGTCTGTTAGGATCCCCTGAGCTTGCTGGAGTATTATCTTCCTTGTGGAGTGTACTAATAAAATTTATGGCCGAGAAGAAGTTGATGGAAAATGCAGTTAGTGTGTCAGTGCAGGCTAAGGAAAATAAGTTTGAACCTCATATATTTTCGTGTAATTTTAGAATCCAAGAGAGATGAACTTTTTGTCGATGTATTTGATCAGTTGAGGAATTCTTGTCCTTGGCCTAACGTTCATACCTACACCATTCTTCTGAACTTCTACCGTATCAGTGATTTGGAGGTAGACCTTGTTCATGCTCTGATGGAGGTACTGGACGAAATGCAGAAATTTGGGCTTACACCCACAGCTGTAACTCACAGTACGGTTGTACATGCTCCTTGTAAAGTTGGTTACGTTGAGTGTGCTTTGGAATACGTACGGGATTTAAGGAATAGTAACTGTTCCTACAGTAGTTATTGTTATAATGCTATTATCCGTGGATTTTGCCAACAAGGTGAAGTGGATGAAGCACTGAAGCTCTTGGAAGAAATGAGGTCAACCAGGATATCATCAGACATATATAGCTACAGCATCTTGATTCATGGGTTCTGCCAGAAGGGTGATTTCGAAAAGTGTGACGATTTGTGGAAAGAAATGGCATATTGGAATATCCATCCGAACATCGTTATGCATAGTTCGCGCGTTTCAGGTGTGTGTAAAATTTGAATGGTGTACCTCTGAGCATAAAGCCAAAGTCTTGAGCTTAGTTTAGGTTAGATGATTTATCTATCTACAGTTTCATTTATCCTCTTCTCGATTACTTTAACATTTGCCAGATGGTTTATTTTTCCCCTTCCCATTTTCATTCTCATCCCTCTAGCTCAACATAATCTTTTGCAGGGGTTGCTGTGGATATGTATTTCTTCCGGAACTCTATCCTACTATGTGAAGGCATTGGTAGATCCGCATCTCTCTCCTAAATTGCATTGATGTATCTAGTTCATGACTCATAGCACAGTCGTGGCTGGTAAAAACAGGGGTTGCTACGGGGTGACACTTGACAGTTTCTATCTGATGTCATTTGAATGTTTGAAAAGCTCACAGGTACTTGTGCTAGGCCTGTTAATGTGGCTTTAATGGTGGTCCTGGACTTATATGAGTAATGTGAATGGATGAATAAGTGTTTGGTAGTCCATTACTCTAGTCTTTGTTGTTTGAAATTGCAAACTAATTTTTCATATGTTTTCTGGCATTATGCTGTCAAAACTTGTATCTCATTGGCTTTTTGTGTCTGTAGGTTTATGATCTAAAAATAGCCGCTTTTCAAGAATTGCTTCACTATTATTCATTGCTTCCACACTCTCAATATTAGTAATCACATACGTCTCTATTATACATCACAAAGCCAAAGTCAGAACGCCAAGATCAAACATAAAAAATGGACAGAACATCTATGGGATGCAGAAAAATGAACATGTATCCTATGACTGCAATATGTAGTCTTCTTAAAAAATCATGTTAGTGCTCCCTTTTGTTGCTCCTGTTGAAGGTTGATTAGCTTAAAATATGCTCCTTCTCTCTTCTGTACAAGACTCGAATGAGTCCCCTGTTCGATTATTCTTCCATCTTGTATGACTGATATCTGATCTGCATTCTTTATAGTTGACAGTCTGTGGGCCACCATCACCGTCGTACGGTTCCTCATCAATCTATCCAGTGCTTGTTGCACAATGTGCTCTGACTCTGCATCCAAAGCGCTGGTGGCTTCATCTAGCAGAAGAATTTCTGGGTTCTTCAGCACTGCCCGAGCAATTGCTACCCTTTGCTTCTGGCCGCCAGATAGTTGCACCCCTCGTTCACCTACTTTGGTGGAGTAGCCCTGAGGAAGGGCGCTGATGAAGCTATGTGCATTGGCGAGTTTAGCTGCTTCGATTACTTCTCCTTCGGTGGCCCCTTCTCTGCCATACAGTATGTTTTCATAGATAGATGTTGCAAAGAGAGCTGGCTCTTGCTGGACTAGGCCGATGTGCCTACGGAGCGATCTCAATTGCAGTTTCTTGATGTCTTTCCCTGTTGAAACGTTTTCAAGATGATGTCAATCCGAGGTAAATACAACATTGGTTGGTGAACTTGACTTCACAATTTAAGTTTGCCACTGAAGTCATTTTTTATACAACTACTCAACTCTATGATGATTCATCTATGCACATTATTATGGATTATATCATAATTATATGTCTCTATAAGACGAATTATAATTAGAAGGACCAAAAAGGAAGAACACTCACCATCAATCATCACTCTGCCTGATGTTGGATCATAAAATCGGAGAATGAGTGCAAGAACAGAACTTTTTCCAGATCCACTTTGTCCTACTAAAGCCACACTTTTGCCCAAATGCACTTGCAGATTGAAGTCCTTGAAAATGGCGACTTCTGGCCTTGCTGGATAGCTGAAACAGACGTTCTTCAACTCAACCTTACCCTCTACATTCTTCAACTCTTCCCCGGCATCTCCACTCATCTGTGATTTCCGATCCAAAACCTCGAAGACCGATGCAGCCATCTGGTTCCCTTTCAGAAGATCTGGAGCTAATGCAAGAGTTTCGCCCATGGCTAGTGCTGTTACAATCAGAACCATGAATGACTTCATGACGGACTTAAAGCTAGCGAGCTCCTTCTCCATAAGAGTAGAACCATACCTACAAAAGTCAAGGCAAGAGTCATTCATTATTCTTTTTTGGTCACCAGAGTCCTTCTCGTATTGGTTACTGAACTTGGTGTCAAAACATCTAAAGCACCTAACTTGTCCTAATGAATCACCAGAAGCATACTTTGTTGGTGGCTACCAATCAACAACATAATGGCGACAACTAGCAGGGGTATGACAGCCGAGACAAAAATGCTAACGGTGAGCTATCAGAGCTAGTTCGGTGCTTTATTTATCTTAATATCGAGTTTTAGTCTCAATATGATATATGTGGCCAAGTTTGATGATCAAATTGGTATTATGTTCAGAGGCATAATGTTACTAAATATTTTGAGGCTGAAATCTAAGGAGAGCCACACACACATACCATAGAGCGAGTCCATAGCACGAGAAAATGAAGAACTGGGATATCCCATAGCATATCCCTGCAATCTGTCCACGTGCGAACGAACGCTTGGAAGGTTCCACTAGCTCGTGCCCATAAAGATCAAGGATCTTGTCTTCCGCACAGAATGCCGCGACTGTTCGTATGTTGCTTACGGCCTCAGCAGCTAGCATGTTGGCTTTCAGGTACACTTTGCTCAAGTTGCCACCATAACCTTGCATGAACAGTTTCTGATTTCCCACATTGGTTAGCTAATTGAATATCTGCAAGTAGTTTTTACTTCTTAAAATCCGAGGGGTGCAAAAAAGGAAAACGGATACTACCTCGCTGATGTGCCCGCTAATGATGAGTGGATATGTAGCTAACACAACAAGAGTGATTCTCCAATTCAGGATGAATGCAATGACGAATGATGTAACCACCAAACCGAGGTTCTGCAAGAGAATGGTGGAGCGATCGACTACTATTGTTTTCAGCAGAGTTGCATCGGTCGCGAGACGTGATGCCAGCATCGAGCTGTTGTTGTTCAAGTCGTCGAACCATCCTATTTCATTCTGCAAGATGGCTGCAAAGCAAATAGTACGGAGGAGAGTGAGGATAGTGTTGTAGTTATGGCATGCAAATCCATGCTACTTAAAGCCACAAACTTTACCAGAGAACATCTTTTCTCTGACTCGGAATGTAAGTCTCTCTCCCATGATCCCGAACGACAGATGTGCAACAGCATGAGCAATAACTGTCAACACTGAAGCAATGCTGAAGAGGATTGCTATCCTCTTGACCTCATGGCGAGTTGTGTCCCAGTCCATGTAGTAGGACACAAGCGCCTGAGACACACCGAGTGCGAAAAGCGGCATCTGTGCTCCAGCAAAGAAGGCGCCTATGGTGCCAGAGACTCCATAGATCCAATCAGGAGCAACCATGGCATACAGCCTTCTCATGGAAACAGTAGATGGCTTGGCCGGTTCTGCACCGTCCAAGCCTGCCCGACTGATGACAGAATCCTTATCAGAACGGAAGCTTGCTCCTAAGTTTGATCTGGTGCGGGATAGCTCTTGAGAGTGCTTTCCGCTGGCAGAGACCAGACAAAGGACAGGAAGAGACACATCAGTGCATATAACATGACTCTTCATATGTTTTTTCATTTGGCTGGGTTTTTAGCATCTTCTGTTGTCAAGGTAGCTAGAATTACAATCATCCACATAATGCCTTCAGATTTGAGTACCTATAACTCGCTTGATAAAATGTTATTACTAATTGTCCATTACTATCAGGCCAGAAGTCATCTATATGGTTACCTCAGCTGATGTTCCATTGTGGGACCTGAAGATGGGTGGCGTTGGTTTGATGCAGCTTCTTGAAGGTGGACAAGTGACGCATATGCACTATTTGAGTCTGCAATGAGATCTTCATGGCTGCCAATTTCCACAATCTTTCCTCCTTGAACAACAGCAATCATATCGGCATTCCTAATGGTGGAAAGCCGATGTGCTACAACAACAGTTGTCCTTCCAACCATGGCTCGATCGAGTGCCTCCTGCACGCTTTTCTCCGACTCCGCATCAAGTGCACTTGTAGCTTCATCGAGCAATAGAATTGATGGGTTCTTCACTATTGCACGAGATATTGCTATCCTCTGCTTCTGCCCGCCTGATAGCTGGATTCCTCTCTCCCCGACCTGCCAAAAAGCCAAAACATCAACAGCATTACAACCAGACAGTTTTACCCTGTAGCACAGGCCAATTCTTTTTTTGCTTGTATGCAAATAAGTACCTGAGTTTCGAATCTATCAGGCAGGTTGTTGATGAAAGAAGAAGCTTCAGCCAGCTTAGCAGCGTGAGTGATCTCTTCCATTGTGGCATCATCTTTCCCATACAGAATATTTTTCTTGATGCTGGTGGCAAACAATGCAGGTTCCTGATTCACCAGACCAATCTGCTGCCTCAGCCACTTGAGATCGAAATCCTTAATATCGACCCCGTCAATCAGAATCTGCCCAGACTCTGGCTCGTAAAATCGTTCGATTAGTGACACGATCGTGCTCTTCCCAGAACCACTCCCTCCGACGAGAGCCACAATCTTGCCAGCGGGTATGTTGAGGCGGAGCTTGTCGAAGATGGTTACATCAGGGCGAGAAGGGTATCGAAATGAGACGTCCTTGAATTGGATGTGACCTTCAAGCTTGTTTAATCTTTTGCCTGTTTTGGAGTTGGTTCTGCTCACAGTGTGCCTCTCTATCATCTGGAATATAGGACCTGCTGCTGCTTTCGCCCTGATGAATGCTGTGATGTCTGGAGCTGCCTGTCCCAGTGATCTTTTTGGCAAAAAGCATGAAACAGGTAATTAAATAAGATAAGCAGTGGATAGATAATTTGAGGTAAAATGTTGTAAGCTAGTGAATTGGTTCTAGTGAGTGTATATATAATAATTGAACCTGAGCACTACTTACAGGCCTGAAATGACCACATTGAGCATGGTGGTGAAGGACTCGCCACCGTTCGATATGTTCTTGTGGACGACGATGCTGACGAACCAGACGAGCAGAGCCCACGAAAGGAAGAGCACGCAGTGGACACTTCCAAGTCCAAGCCCTTTGGCTAGTCCTGCTTTCCTTCCATACTCGTAAGTTTTGCTCAAAGCATCTCTGTACGATCTTACTGCCTTTTCCTCTCCTGCAAATGCTTGCACTGTTCTCACATTGCCAATCACCTGACAAGTTTTTTTTTTTTTTTTTTGTAGTGGGAAATGAATAATGGATGTTAGGGATATGTGTATCTCTAGCATTAGATTCGATCGTTATTTTTGTGTTCCTTAATGGTATCGGTGATAATACGATTTATGAATTCTCGAACTCTATTAGATGCAGAGGTTGCAGATTCACACCTCTTCTGCGATTTCGCCTGCTTTGACATAAGACTTGCGGACTCTGGCAAGAAGGCCGATGGTGACATACGCGTAGATGCCACCTGCTAGCGCGATGAAAGGCACTATGGAAAGCGTAACCAAGCTGATCTGCCACACCTTGGCAAACCCTATGATGAACCCAAACACGAATCTGCTGAAGTAGTGCATGAAGTTCCCCACCTGCAGGAAATGGCACACACCCAAAAAAATAAAATTGTTTTAGACAAGTCTTATTTCCATTTTATCTAAGTGTATGCTTCTGTATGCAACAAACCTCACCAGGAAGGCAAGTCAAGTAATAATTAGGTAGTGGTAGAAGTGTTTGTGTATAGCACAAAAATACTTGGGGCAGGGAAAGAAAAGGTGAATGAATGTTTGTAATTGTACAGCTACTAACGTTGAAGGGAGAGGAGAGCAGGTGGTTGAACTTTGAAGCAAACGAACCAAGCAGTAAACCGTCTCATAAATGGCCTAAGTCCCACCATTTTCGTCATAAATATATTCATGAATCATGACCTTTTTTTCTTCTGTTTTGCCATTTCTTCTTTCCTTCTCCCCAAATTTCACCATTTATTGATTACCCATCTCACCTACCTCCTCAAATTAGGTCACTAATTCAAAGGTGAATTGCTGGTTCGGTTCGAATTTAGGTCGTAAATTATTTATATTACAAAATCGGTTAACGTATGTACGCCTTGGTGCGACACGATCCGCAGTGGATAAAATCGAACAAGAATTACGAGAAAGAAACACAACTCGAAAAGTCCAGTTTTAACCAATTTTTAAAGAGGAAAAAAAATATTGAAATGAAGATAACTCTTTTCTTGTTTTTTCTTTTTTTTTTGTTTGTTGCCAAAGGTACCTTTTTCCCTTGTTTGATTAGTATGAAACATATATTAATTAATAACATGACTTACAATATATTAATTTATATTATTCCATCGGGTGTCCTCAGCTTACAACTTAGGTTTGACCAATGTCATTTCCAACAATCTCTGTCATTAATCTAAGTGCATAAGTAATCATAACAATACATTTCTATCAGTGAAATTGACTTTCACAAAATCTTACTTCCGAGGTCTGAAGAAGTCAAAACCTCTTATTAATTAGATAAGAAAAAACAAAACAAAACAATTAATCAAATTACCAAGATAAGGAAAAAAAGGTGAAAAGAGGACAAAAAGGGTGAATTTAATGAACGCAGAGCCGGGTAAATTTTTTTTTTAAATAAAAGAGAGCTGTAAAAAAAAAAAAATTACTCAAAACAAACAAACCTTCTCAGAAAGGGCATCTTGGACCAGAATAACGTCAGAGGTAATTGCAGCGATGACTTCTCCAGTAGAAGCTTCAGTGTCAAATAAGGTGATGTCTTGATTCAACAGTGCTTTCAAATACGCCATCCTCATCTTCGCCGCTTGCCTCTCCCCGCTATGCATCCAACATGCCACCTCTACATTAACATATTATACCCGCGGCCGTGTTTAGTTACTACGAAAAATTCGAACTTCGAAATGTTACAAATACGATATAAGTTAAAAAAAAGTTTCGAGAAATTACCTATCCACGACGAAAACATGATGGCTATGCTCAGGTACAAAAAATCCAGCGAGTACTACACACACCAAAAAAAAACCACAATTAAGCCGAAAATAAACCCTGAATTGTAGTAATATTATTGCTCACATAAACAAGTTTTCACCTCTCTTTTTTTTCCCCACTCAAAATTTAAGTCATGCATCCTATAATTAACTTCCAGTCAGGGATTAAGGCTGATAATTAAACACTTTGATTAAGAGAGTTAATTAAGCTTTAATTACGTACCTTGGCGACGCGATGGGAGGCTTCCTTGGGGAAAAGATAGGCGAGGCCGATGATGTTGATGAGCTTGCCGAAGAAGATGAAGAACACCGGCACCGACGCGCCGTGGACTATTGCTCCGACCGATCCAATCCCCATCAGAACGTAGTCGTAGAAGTCGGCAAACGAGAACAACTTGAGAAACGAAACCTTCTTGTAATTATAACTAGTCTTATTATTATCATCATTATTATTGGCATTGTTGTGATTATCATCATCATGATGATGATTAGGGTTTTGCTCCTTTTCTTCTCCTCCTTCCATCTCTAGCTATTCTCCCTGGCTGGAAGAGAGAAAAAAAGTTATGGGTTTTGTAGAGAGAGAGAGAGAGAGAGAGAGTGGAGAAGGGAATGGGAAGGGAGAATATTGTTGAGAGGGGGAAGTTGGGAGTTATAATGAGAGGGAGGGGGCAGATAGGCTTATTTACTTCTTTCTCTACTCTCTG